ACAATCTGTATTAAAAAAGTCGTATCTTACTATTTACGAACAATGTTTTCATATACCTAACAATATCTTCTGTAAATCATCTTATGTTATTTTTATTTCATTCTATAAAATTTTAACTTCGGTTTCATCAAGAGGAACTGGAAATTACTGAACCGTGCTAACATTTCCCCGGCGACTGTTCCACTCTCGACTTTTACCTGTCTCCATTCAAAGTTTTACCTTTAACCGCTAAGTGCACTTTTCCGAATGGTAATTTTATCTGGAATCTGGAATCTCTGAACCGTTTCCAATTACGCTAGAATATGGAAGAATACGGAAAAATCCGACGCTTTCTATGCTAGTATACCTAATATACTCGTACGTATATCGTATTGCTATATTCGGATACAAGACAAATACTTGTTATTCATATATATAGTGGGTACATATATTGTTAGTGAAGTACAATTTAATATATATATATATATTACAGTTGTAAAGTGTAACGAAAATGATATCAAATCGTAACTTCATAAAATTAAACAACTTTCCTCAAGAAACGTAGGTAGATTGGAATTTGGAGACAATTATATGTATAATAATAATATACACAAAGCAATCGTAGTAACCGAATGTTACAATTATTTACAATAGACTAGATCTTTATTCAACTATTTCTTTTTTTATATTTCGCAATACAGTCGTGAACCGTTTTCAGTTAAAAAAATTTTTATTGAATAATGAAAAAAATATAATATTTCTACTGATAGAAATTGTCTTTCAAACTACATTTCTGCAATTGAAATCTGGATTGAGCCTGATGCACATTTCTACCTACTTAGGTTTGTATAGGCAGAACTACATATATTATGACGTTTATACAATAAATAATATAAGTAGGTAATAGATAGGTATCACTAACTAAAACTATTCATTTAAAAATATGCTTTAAATGAACAATTTTTTGGAAATTCTACAAATCCTTAAAAACTGTCATTAAACTCATTTGGCTGTAATTATAAGGTTGTGGCCTGGTGAAGCGATTAGACACGGCCATTTGATCGCTATTAGGACGCTCGGCTTCCTTCCAACTCTTGCTAATTATAGGTAGCAGACTACTCATAATATCTGCATATAGTCTACGCCATTTTAATTGATTTAAGGAACTCATTTTTAGAAATTTATTGTTTGAAATATAATGATATCATTATTTACTTAGGTACATAAGTATATTTATAATTATACCAGGTTGATACATCGAGCAAGTAAAAAATAAAATATTCATTTACAAATCATTAACTCAACTAACAGCACCTATTGCGTAAGGTGTTCTCTTAAACTCAATATTATACGAAATATAAACAAAATTGTAGCGTCTCAGAAACCCAAGATGAAAATCAATTGAGAAGGCATCACGTGAACGTAAATAAAGAGCTATCAAAAAACCAATATGAACGTGATTACTGATAGCGGAAGAAAGCGTAAAATAACAGAAGCGATGAATTGAATACAGGAAGTGAACGCGGGGCTGATTCACCTAACGAGACTGCGCCCGCAGCCAAGCCACGCCAAAAGTCGTTCGTACAACCATCGACAGCTTTAAAACTTCCATTTGTAAATGAATTTCCTGGTACCGATAACGACACTATCGTACTTTCTGCTGAAAAATTATTACGACGAAAAGATTCGTCGTAATAATTTTTCACAGCAACCGATACGGGTTGTATCGGTTGTAGATTTTAACTTTTTAGATCAAAATGCACTATTGTGATTTTTCATTCGACTCCACGAATGAATAATATTAAATATGACTGAATTATTTTGTGTATTGCTTTTGCTCAATACTCCCGAGTTTATATATTGATTGACTTTTGTTAAATTTCGAAAAAAGAGCATACTTATTTTATTAATTTCGAGCAATCTTATAGCTCAAATAATATATACCTTCGAGACTAACATAAATATAATATTTTATTACGACATATTTATAAAAATAATGTATATTTTATAATCTATACATATAAATAAAATTGGAGTGTGTTTGTAATATTGAAATAACCGTTTTTTACTGCATGTAGTAAAAAACGGTTATTTCAATATTACAAACAGACATATGAATATAAATACGGTATGTATACACCAAAATAACATTTTTTACAATTTTTGTCTGTCTGTCTGTTGGTCTGTTTGTTCCGGCTAGTCTCTGATATGGCTGGAGCTATTTTGACGGGTCTTTTTTTGGCAGGTAGCTGATGTAATAAGGAGTAACTCAGGCTACTCTTTTTTTAGAAAAAAATCTTTTATTTTATAAACTAAATCCCCCGCGGACGAAGTCGCGGGAACAGTCCTAAAATAATGTCCTTCTCTTTGTCTCCTAAAATAATGTCCGTTGCGTAGCGTAGGCGGAACGAGTACATTGCTGTGGTCGGCCTTGTTGCACGTAGTAAGAAGTTGGGCCCAGCAGGTGCCACACAGCGATACCACAGTGGTAGCGATTGGCCCTCTTGGTATAGGCCTTATAAGGTAGATGATAGGACGAGACTATGTGAACTAAAGAAAGACTGTACACACAAGCACTTAGTCAAACTAGAATTTCAATCAATACTTCGCGATTTTCTCTGATATTAAGGTAAAAATGTAGCCAATGCAAATATTAACGACCAGCCAAATAGAGTTTAAAAAGAAATGTATTAATCGGGTCCCATGTCACTTAAATGGTATACTTATATGCTACTAGCTGTCCCGGCAAACGTTGTTTTGCCTTAAAATAAAAAAAAATTTAGGGGTGGACTACCCCTAACATTTAGGGGGATGAAAAATAGATGTTGGCCGATTCTCAGACCTACTCAATACGCTCAAAAAATTTCATGAGAATCGGTCAAGTCGTTTCGGAGGAGTATGGGAACGAAAACTGTGACACGAGAATTTTATATACCTATAAGTTATTTCCGCATTGTAAGCAAAGTCACCCGATATATCTACAAATATAGTTACAGTTTAATTTGTTTTTTTTTTAACAACAGGACACGTTATGTACTATTGAAACTAGATAATACCTATTGTACTCGATGTCATGTTATCAAAATAGTCTGATAACGTAGGTAACATCAATCAGAAATCTGACCACCTCATCACGCCACCGTCGGTATCGCCATAAAATATAAATACCTATATTAGATGACGAAGTGGATGGGTTGAAGGCAAAATGAAATCCTTAACATATAAAGTTACACACAGATAATAGTAGTGAAACAAACTCAACGAACTATGAGTTTGTTTCACTACTATTATCTGTGTGTAACTTTAAATGCCGAATCTTATAAAAAAATAGCATCAACTAGATATTTGAAAAAAAATATAATTGATTTCTCAAACTAAAGGAATGCTTACTCTTGTAAATACAACAAAAAATGTATATTTTAATCCCGGCATCAAAAACTATACAAAAATACTATTAGGTATATGAAGACATCTTGAATTTGGAATAAAATAAACGAACAGCTTAAGACTTAAGAGATATCTCCACAATATGAAGTTCATAATTATAAATTGGTTATGTTTTTGTTTCACGTAGTAGTTAGTCGTTGAAGAAACAACATGCATACCTACATCTTACAAACTACCATTAATAGACTAGACTAGTGGCCGCCCAATGGTCGTAAAAGAACCATAATTCAATTAAACATATGCTTACCTACATAAGCTTGTATTGTTAGACTATAAACAAATAATGTACTTATACATATGAGTGTATGTCGATGGAATGTATTTTGAAACGAGTTACATTTAAAAAAATGTCTCGATCTCCTATTCATAACACTCGATCTGCGTAAAATATTGGTATACTTACTTACTATAAAGTGAAATATTTAAAGTGATGAGTTACATTTTAAACAGAATTACATAATTCTCGGCACAAAGGCCGAGTTTGTACCAATAGAATTTAATATCAGATGCCATAACTAGCTTAAGTATTAGAATTCCTCCAGGTGAAATTGAATCAATCCAATGGACGGGCTTAGAGTAAGTTACGGATATTCCAATCTAATATTACCAACTTACAGAATTCATTAAAGACCCTTATAGGATAAGATGTACCTACCATTCGTGACAAGTTGCAAATTCTTGCAAGTAGATATAATGCATTAGCCATGAGTGATTGTTCAACCACCCACCCCACTTGAGAGTTGAACAAAGAAGTTTTTGGGACAAAGTTTCGACACCACCCGCTACTATTATGTATGATATTCATAACACCGTCGACTTTACACAATACCAAAGTAAGGAACGACACTGTTTGTTGAACGCTTTTTCTAGTTTGTTAAGGAAAGTTGTCCTCGCTCTTCTCGTTTAATTTCGGATGAATATTTCACGAATGCGTAAAATTTTCTTTTTTATTACTTTTTCAAATAAAGGAACAAACGTAGCATAACAGAAAAATATTTTTAAAGCGACGGACTTTCATTGAATATTTTCCCATTCAATTCTAAAATATAAGAATCTTATATATTGATACTGATCATAGATAGATCAGCATTGTAGATTAGTTAGATATAAATACCGAGATACCATAATTTCTTTTGACACAGTAAAAATGGTATGAAATTGTGAAAAAAAAAGTAATATAGAAACTGAAATACGTTTATATATTTTAAGGAAAGCAATTAGAATACTACTGCCCTCTGTCACAAGAATAAATCGTTTTTGTTGCTATGTGTGTTATTATATATTTTAAATTAAATATATATTGAGTTGACACAAAGCGGTTTTTTTGCATGTAGCAAAATATCGGAAATGTGTCGTTATCTCCAAGATAATCACACTAAATGATTACGTATTTCATCCGGTATCGTAGTCGCGAATATACATACCGTCACGACTGTTGGGATGGACCCCAGATGGGGTAGTCACTATTATCACAGATAACATTATTATTGTCAGTTGTCGACGTGATGGTGAACGAAATATATATTACATTTTTGGATTATATTTTTATTTTTATAACAGATAATAAAACAACCTTATTCATACATCATAATATTTTAATATTTACCTTTTATGGTATAAAACACATTTATGACATCCTACAGTAATACTAATATGTATTAAGGACTAACATTATTTTAAGTAGGTATATAAGAAAAAAGATTATAATTTAATACAGCAATATAAGAGTATGTTGACTACGATCGATGATAAAAATATTTAAAGTTATTTAATGTGAAGAACAGACAAAGCTGAAATATTCATTATACGAGTACAACGCAATATTCTCATGTAGCCTTCTTAGTTATTTTCTTCGTTGTCCTGCAAAAATATATTACAATCATAATTCCGTTATACAAAAGGAAAGAAAATTTTATACATCTGTTAGTGGTTGATGACATTCCTATGATATTTCTATGTTAGTTATATATCATCATAATCGTCAGCCCACTGATGTCCACTGCTGGACATAGACATAGTTATATATGTTTACTACTTATTATTTGGTTTATGAACAAACAAACACGTGGTTTACGAAAAAAAATAACAATTATGATATAGACCACTATTAAAAAAATAGTGGTATGGAACTAATAGGGATGTAAACGTGTTAAAAATAATCATATATTATATTATTATATATATATATAGATATATAGGTAATTTGGCGAATATGCAATGACACAGTAGGATTGAAAACCTCTTTCTCGTAGTTAGTTAAAAGGCTCAAATAGTGTAAATATTGTTGGATTTCTACTAACTGTTGGATCACAGTCCGCACAATGCCATGAATAGCCACGTTTCTTCGGATTCTTGTTCAGCGGCGGTTCTAAACAGGTGAAGTGGTATCGTTTGAAGCACTCATCGCACCTATAGAATGAAGTATTTTTATAGTAATTGTGTATAATATCACTGATAAACTTTTGTAATAACTAGAATATTATTATAAATAAATATTCGGGTCCTTATTAATCTACACATGTAAATAAAATCGAAGTGTCTGTTTGTAATAATAAAATAACCGTTTTTTACTACATGGATATGAATATAAATACGGTACATATACCAAAATAACACTTTTTACTATTTTTGTCTGTCTATCTGTTTGTTACGGCTAATGTCTGAAATGGCTGGACCTATTTTGACGGGACTTTTATTGGCAGGTAGCTGATATAATGAGAAGTAACTTAGGCGACGTTTGTGTTAGAAAATTTCTTTTATTTTAAAAAAATAAAGTTAATTTCCCGCATACGAAGTCGCGGGAACAGGTAGTTATTAATAAAAATCTATTACAATCGTAAAGAAACATTTTTAGATTGTTTCAAAATACTTAGTTTGAAAGTAGATAACATTAAAATAAATTAATCTATTCATAGTTGTTTGTGAATGAAGCAACACTACCCGCACTTTTTAGTTATTTATTATGTTTTACGGCTCTGGATACTAACCGCACTAGGTTGGTGTTGTTGCCAGGTTCGGTGCAGACGTCACAGTGTGTCATGGGCGTGAGTGCGGCCGCAGGACTGCTGCCTGTGCCCTCCCCGCCCCCCACACCGCCCACACCCCCCGCACCCGCGCCGTCGCCGCCCCGCGCACCCCGCACCCGCGAACGCTGACGCACAATATTTAACTGCGTTACATATACCCGTAAAAGCCAATATACACAGCTTCAAAGAATTAACGTAAGTGTGACTTTGTACCCACAACGTCACAGTGGCGTTATATCTTCAAAGTTTGAAAATAGTTACTGCCTTCGGCGTCCCGTATTGCAAATGCAATTAAACGCAAAGCAAAGCGTTCAAAATTCGAATGTGTAACGAAATAATCTAATAGTTAACGAGTACCGTGAGCCATCCGGGTCATCCAACAAAATAGTATTTATACAAAATATGTATAAAACAAATATTCTACAAGTTATATGCGAGTGGTTAGGCAACACAGCTTGGAACAAACAACACAATATTTCAGTCAATACATTTATATGCACATGAACAACAAATAGACAGAATAACCACCATACAATATAACCATATATACCATACAATGTAAAGAGAAAATATTTATATAAAATCTATGATGTTATACTAATAAGCATACACAAAGTGGCAAAGATGGAAAGAAGAAAACCAAATTATGACGTAAAAAATCTGCCCAATATCAAGCAAAAGGTAAAAAAGTACTACATGATACAATAGACCAATACAATAGCCAGACGTTAATTATTGTTGTTACAATAAAATATGAGTAATATATACCACTTACAACTACTATTATAATAATAAATATACTAACAAACAAAAATAGTAAAAGATTCTACATAAGCGAACACGTTACAAGCGGCGGGTGCGAAATGTGGGATGGTTAGTATTAATTGTGCTAATACTCTAGGAGAAGACAATACATAGACAGAATAATTATATATTTAATATTTTATATGACATTACACTGTACATACAATAACACATTTCTATCCCTTTATTTTGTAAAGCGTGTAATATGGCGACCTTTCTTGTATAGTACTTTAAACCAACTGTCTTACATCCATGATCATAATACAATTATGTTTACTTCAACACCTGTGGGTTTAGGTCCAGGTTCCATCATTATGTTATAAAGAATTACTTTCAGACAAGTCATCAGTTATTAATTAGTATTTATGGCACTACGACAATTATACTATAATATAATTATTAGTTACCTTCGGTTTGCCAATATTTGGTTTATTTAGTTTGTCCGCCGGACTGAGAAGCTTGTATAAATAAATAAATACTGGTGAGTTAAGTTAAGGCATTACTTCACAGTGTCTTTATAGTCTTTTTTCTTTACTCAAAGTAAAATATCGCATTTAAGCAATTACGTTGTCTTTAAGACTTCCTTTTTTTAAAAAAACGAAAGCTTTACATTTCTATATTATAATCAACATAATAAGGCATACTTACAGGCGTTGAGGCGTCTTGTTCAATGACTGCTGATGCATCAATTGGAAGCATCGAATTAGCATCTGTTTGCTCAGTATGCTGCATACAAATTTACAAATGTAAAAACACACAAAATGTCATCATAAAATATAATGAATATTATATAGACTTTTGTTAATACCTTTGACAGTTTCTTCATTACTGCTGGCGGAGGTCCGTCATTACTGTCCGTCGGAACGTAGAACATTTGTGTATCAAGAGAACCATCCGGTTTGGGAATAGGTTTGATCTAAAAAAAAACTCCTTTTAACAATAGTATTTCAAGACAAAAAAGATTGGGTCATTAAATATAAAAAAAAATACCTTAATAGTAATTCGAGGTAATCCTGGGTTTTCCATGTCTTGTATCTTCTTTTTCCTTTTATGTTTATGTGACTTTGATGGTGTTCGCATAAAGTCAGGAGAATATCTCGATCGGTGCTTTTCTTTCCTACGTTTTCTATTTGCTTTATACGTAGCAATATCTGATGAGAGATTTGCGAGTGTGTTCTCTATAGAACTTTCGATAGCTTTGCTGTCTCTTTCTTTTGACTCACTCAGCAGTGAAGAGAACGATATATTTTGAGGTAAAAAACTTTCATCTCGCTTACTTAAAGCAATATTAGTGGAGGCATTGGAATTTTCATTGTGCGAATCATTGGGACTGTCTGCAACGATTGGGGTTATTGACATCAACGGCGTGTTCGTCAATGTGGGCGAAGTAAAACTGCGCTTAATCTTTTTCGATGGACTATCACCTTCACCGACAGACCCGGATGCATGTTCTTTTAGCTTGGACTTCTTTATTTTCTTATCTTTTTTTTTAATGTCAGTGCTTTCGTTACCATCGCTACTGAATTCGAAAGGCTTTATAGTCACTTTAATTGGAGATAGATTTTCTGACGATGCGATCTTTATCGTTTCGGTCTTAAGATGATGAGGTTTAGCAGACTTTGGTTTTGGTGGCGGTGAATTGGGTGTTGAGCCGGGACTCGCCGGTTCTGTGATAATTGCTCCGTCTTTACTGTACCGAATACGTGATCGTCTTGGTACTTTCTTTTCTAATACTTCCGGTTCCGAGTCGGATGTTTTGTCACATTCAGAGCATTGCCTACAAATTTAAAAATATTTAGACGTTATAACGATGTTATTCATTGATGTTCTGAAATAAATAGACTTAGCGAGTTAGTTTATTGTTGGTGATCTCGATGGTCTATCGGTTTAGAACACCGCTTTAATACTTATGGTGGCGCGTTCAAGTCCTCGCAAAGTACAAACATTTGTATTCACGAGTATGATTGTTCGTATCGATCTCGGAGTTTTCTATGCATATTATATAAGTATTATTATATATAATATGCATAGAATATACAAAAAAAGAGAATATCTAAGTATTTATATCAGTTATCTATTACCCATAACACAAGCTCTGTTTATCTTGGGACTAGATAAGAGTCGTGTGAATTGTCCAGTGTATTATTATTATATATTGTTTACATTTACACAATACAAATACAACACAAATATATTAAAACTTTTATTCCTCAAGATTGTTATTTCTTCTAGCCGAGTCGCCTAACAGTAAGGTAAAGAAACTGTGTCAACTGAGAGTCGTTAGTGAGGCGGGCGATACTGACCAGCCGTAGAGTTTGCTCTTCTTGGGCGGGCGCTGCAGCGGTGGCTTGAGGCAGTGCAGGTGGTAGTGGTGGTGGCAGGTGTCGCAGGCCGCCATCAGGTGCCGCTCGCTGCTGCGGCCGCACGCCGCGCACTCGCGGGCCGCCAGCGCGTCCGACGCTGCGGCCCGCGGACAAGTCTTATTTTATGAATTTATACTAACACTCGCTGTGCCCGCGGTTTCACCCGCGTTAAATTTATAGCCCACTAGTTGTGTGTTGTCGTGTTATAATATAGTCTGTGTTATTCTGATGCATAAGCTATATTACTGTAAACTTTCATCAAAATCCATTCAGTAGTTTTTGTGTGAAACAGTAACAAACATCCCGTTTATAATACTAATAATAAGATTATTAGTAGTCAAATTATGTCAGATTATGTCTGTTTGTTACCAACTTCACGACCAAACGGTTAGACAAATTGGCGTAACCACGGTGGAGTAGGGTGGGGCGCTTGCCACACCCTGGCAACCAACCCTGAAAAATAAATTGTCTAAGTCCTAACTTAATATCCGTAAGAAAGTTCATACTCAATAGTAGTTAGACCAAAGACACCAAAAAGGTCAGTTAAAACGAGACCGTTTTGTAAGTAGGATGTAAATAAAATTTTGAGAAACGTCTTTGCTTACCTTCAAGTGACGTAGATAGTACTTTTCCATGGCGAGCGTCCGGGTTGTCGCTAAGAGGAAAACCAACGCCCATCTTAAGTGCTGCCGCGGTGGGCACAGACATTGACCTGGTGGCCGACCCACTATGCATTATACGACCAAATGAGGTATCATCTACATCCGGAGCCCCCGTCCTGGCAATTTAATAAGAGAAACCTCAAGACGAGACATTGTAGTTTTAAATAGTATCAAATATTTTATATTTTAATAATAATAATATATATGATCATACATGATAATTTAAATAATATTTCAAATAAACGTCTTGTGATTTAAAATTGGCAGAACTGGGGCTCTGCTCCTTTCTAATTCATTTGCTATAGACGAGTTCAAACACTTCATTCTATATTGTGACATATCGCTAAAAAAGATGTCGGTACATAAATATCTACGCTATACGCGCATACGCGAAATGCTATTTTCAATATTTAAAAGCTTCCTATTGTATAAAATATGTATATATAATCGTAATCCTATATACAATAAATAAAATATAAGAATTATCCGCCAATAATAATATTCATTATTAGGGTATTTTAAGCTTAATATATTATTATAATATATACAATAATAATTACGATAATTATAAAATAATGGATTAATATCATAATTCAATAGTTTAAAGTTGTCTAATGTATAATGAGGAATAATAGCTCCTATTCCTCATGTGAAGTCTGAGAAATCAAACCTTTATGCACTAAATTATTGTTCACATTTGGTTTTTGTAATATAATACATATATTGCGCTTATCATAACTGGATACCCTATATACCGACCTAAGCAAAACCCATCCCATTACTATCTCAGCGGATATATGTGATCACTGATTACTTATGACAATTAATGGAGGGATCAGCCTGTAATCAGGGATCACATGCAATACCTACCGTTTCTGGAGTTGTTGAGGTGTAACCTTCGGCGTAGAACGAGGTATGACTGGAGGTAAGAGAGGCTTGTCTTCTATAATAGATGGTGCTATCTTCTTAGGGCAAATGCCCGTGATCGCTTCATATATCTTCTGTAGGGCTTGTCTTGTTGAAGACATGTCGGCCAGAGTTTCTGTGTTCTCCTTTGAAGCCTTAAATAAAGTATGCATGATGATTATGTATATTCAAAGCAAGCAACCACAGTATAGATTTTGTTGAAATGGTACTGAGCATTAATGGATGTTGGTGTCAGGACCACACGGTCCATATGGGTCCAAGTACATACATAGGAGTATCATTAGGAATTATGTACAATGTACGGCACTGTATTATAAACTCATTGTTGATAATTAAGACATTAATAAAGAAATAAATACTATAATATTACTGTAATACCAATATTCTATGTCGATGGTAAAATCATACACACCAAAATATGTAAGTAATATAGATTGTCAATTGTTTAAATAAGTAATCATCGCAATCATCACAAAATATAATAATCCTTTATCATCACTCTAGTGTTCACTGCCTTTTATAATAATTATTTATAACCTCTTAGCGATAATAAGGAGCATTCGTATTCTTACTCTGTCACTACACGAAAATAAATTTAAATACACGCAATAGAACTAATGAAGTATGTATATCATGTGTACATGTGAACCCAGTACCGCTGAGGCCATCTATGCGCGGTAAGCCAACCAATAAATGTTATCATTTATACGGGTAGTTGCTGCTTAGATTTTGTTACTACACCGTCTGCATTATATATACCTTCTTTTGTATTTCCACTAATATTTAATTTTGTATAAGTTTATGCTTTTAGTTCTCATGTTAAGTGAATTATTTGTAATTCTTAATGAGAATAAATATCTAAAACCTAATATCAATTATTTGAAGTGTTTAAACTGGTTATAACTTGATGCTTGTTATACGTTAACTTACCTCATCATATTCAGTTCTCAATTTATCATCTTCGGCCAACAAAGTCTCGTTTTCTTTGGTGAGCCGTTCAAGTGACTTACGCAAGGATGTGACACGCGAATTTCTATCCAAATAGTAGCCGACGAACTCCACAGAGAATGCTGGTGGTACGTGCCATCGACGAGACACGTCCTTTAGAGCGGCCATCTAAACACAGTATTATTATAATATAAATGCGACTAGTATATCTCTGATTTGTGAAATACTCATAAATATATAAATGGTTTGTAACACTAAATATGCCAAGATAAAAACTAGTGACTGTGTATATACTTGACATATGAAGCAGTTTTTAAACTTTTCAAAAAACCGCGTTGTTACGCGACTGATTTAGTATAAAAGATTACTTTCAAATTTTTTGTACACTTCTCCAGTGGCGAGATAATACTGACACCCTTTCAAAACCTGCCTATCCAAAACACTACAGTCATAGTTAAAATAAAATAAACTTTTGGTCAGACAAAATACCTGCGCATCTTGGAATTCCAGCGCATGGGTGTCTATACCCATACATTCAGCTTTCATCTGGAACTTCCTCATTGCTGATGCACTGCTGTAGAGCATCCGAGCCATTTTCTGAGTTGGGACTGTAAAAACAATTATTTAATACAAACAATAAAAACTAGGTGTTCATACAGTCTTGTTGTTCTATGACTATATATTGGCACTTACACATACATTTATTTACATTATTCAACCATTTAGGAGGCTTAACACCTTAGCCCTAAAGAATTCTGCCATAGGTGATAGTGTATATGTCACATATACATAGTATCACACATACACAGTGTATCCTGAAAAGTGTGTCTATAGACATAGGTTTCAACTTCCTTGTCATATAGGAAAACCCTAAAATCCTTTCAGATATATAATCTGTTGCTTATGCATGTATGTTGTTTCATCTATATACAGTCAACCCTCCTATAACGCGGTGAGTGCGTACCGCGTTGTATGGAAACCGCGCTATAAGAAACTCGGATTTAGCCATACAAACCAGGCTAATTCGTAGCGCGTTCTATGGAAACCGTCTACCGCGTTGTATGGAAACCGCGCTATAAGAGACTCAGAATAAGTACAAATCACATCATTCGTACCGCGTTATATGGAGACCAATAAATACAAAAGACAAGATAAATTATAAATTATTTTTATTGAATTGAAGAGTATGAACTCTTCAATTCAATAAAAATAAGGAAATGATGAAAAAAATGAAACAAAAACTAAACTAAAAAACTGTTTTCCAACAAAAACAAAAGAAAGACTTTTGTAAAATGATGTAATCTTTCAACACTCATCCTCACTGTCAGATATGAGTCGCTTAACTCGCCTTCTTTTAATGGGCAAAATGTCTTCCTCACTTGGTTGATCTTCACATTGGTTTTAAGCGGCTAAGACATAAGCAGAACGTAGTTTTTCTATAGTTCACGCGACATCTTTCATGTTACAGTTTCGTTAGACACACACACGCATGGCACGCTGTCGATGCGAAACTATTTAGTTAATAGAAGTGGAAGATAGCGCATGAGGAGCCCCACCCGTGAACCACGCTGATATAAACATATCCAGTTAAAACCATTCATTGGGTGCACGGAAAGAACTAATGGGACGTTGTTGAACGGAAACCGCGCTTTAAGAGTACCGCGTTATAGGAGGGCTGTCGCAATTTCAGCTCCGCGTTATATGGAAACCACGTTCTGAGAGTACCGCGTTATAGGAGGGTTGACTGTAATAGAACACATAGTGTGTTCTATTATAAAAAATGTCTTTTGCATGTTTCTAACAGAAACTACATATTACCACTAAAATATATTATATGGTACATGTTCTGCCAAAAATATTTAATTTTTTTATAAGTAGAGAGTTGGAATTTAAAGAAATTATTACCCCATGGAGGATTCCTATTCTCTTTTTGATGTAGGTACTTCCGTCTACATTTCACTAATTTCCGTTGGAATCTTTGATTCTCATTCGTACTAACATTACTTTGTAGTTCTTGTTTCCTTAAAATAAATAAAAATACTTATTAACTTGGTAGTTATTTATAGAGTACATTAAAGTGTATTATTTTAGAATATACTGGATACCTCTTTTCTGTCCGCAACTGTAAGGCCAACCAATTTCTTTTGCGTTTTTTTACTAGAGCCTTATCAGAATGTAATCTGCAGTGAGCATAGAAGGGGTCTGCCTGTTCAGCCTCTTCTGTATGTGCTTCTGCTAACAATCCCTCCCGTTGACCACTGAAAACATTACAAATTTCGTCATAATATGATATGACATAAATAAAAAAATATACCAGCTACAAAAAATTAAGGGTGATTTAAAATATTTCAATGATCAATAAAGAAATAACTTCTTGGACTATATATTTAATAAATAAGATTTTCACTGTTCTAGTCATCAGCATCAGAGTGACGTAGATTGCATTGATCTACATAAAATACACAAATATATTTATTAAAGTTGTTAGTCTCTACTGATCTGTATTCATCTATACCAACAATAAAGGATTTACATGTGTCTCTGTAACTATTTATTTATAGCGTTGATTACTCGAAGTCCATAAATCGGGCTGCACTCCACATTTTTATAATCCAGTATTTATACTAACCAAGTAACATGAAAGAATGTCTTGCAGAGACCAGCATCACATCCAACACACACCCCAGTTCTAGCTAGAGTCACATCTTCACAAAGAGCACAGGACCTAGCACCCCACCGAGAGTATGCCATTTCAAATAATGTCACACCTGATAAATGTTCCACCTGTAATGTATTATATTTACACAATTCTTTTTTATGATATTCATGTATTTCTACTATATACTGTATAAAATGATATATCAATTTTATTCCAGTTATATTATTTATCTTAAGAAATGTCACAAAAAATATCCTTCCGTAATGAGCAAACTTCCATGAGAATGAAACCAAATGTGAACAACTTTACTGAAATAAATTGAAGATGATATCGGCATGTTCTATGATGTATCTATGACTAGCAAATAATAATGAATTATAAATTATTATTGTCAATATTAAATGTTATTTTAAGCTCAAATTAGGTACCTCTGAAAATGCTACTCCTGGTACATACAGCGCACATACTAAATGGACCCATGCACCTACTTCAGTTTCTTTGAATATTCCACCTGTAAAAATAAACATATAAATATAACATGACTTTATAGTAGTTACTATCTAAAATCTAAGACCTCTAATATTATAAACACATATTATATAAACAAGATCACCTTTATTGGGGCATAATTCGCAACTAGGATCTGTAACACCAGCTTTACATGCCTCGCAAAACCATGGCTCTGTTGATGCAGAGCTCACTGTACTAGACTCACTAGCAACGTCTGACACACCATAACAACCTGTAAGAAAAATAACCCATGAATTAGGTACATAGACTACTTAAACAAATTAAAAAATATTTCTAAATAATGTATACTTATAAGGTGGTTTTCAATATCTGATATACCTAGTATATATTAACCTCTTATGGGCCAATAAATGGTATATAAAATAAAAATTCAATTTTACAAAGACCAATATTCTTACTTTCTTTCATCCATTATGAAGTAGACTCTACTAATGTAATGGATAGCCTAAATATGAGTGTTCCTTTTGAAGCAATCATTTCTATTTCAAATCTGCATAAAACAACATAACAAGCAACTGTAAATGTAAATGTAACATAGGTACACATAATTACTATTGCGACTATGACTACTAGCCTGACTAAGTTAATATCAGATACAGCACCAGTAATAATGATGCAGTAGTAGTAGTGATAACAATAACGAATTTCTTTTTAATTCTCGAGTATGTATGTTAGTACTTATACCTTCATGTACAGTGACACCACATCCATCACAACCAACAATCTCATTGAAATCATCACTTCTGGAGCCCAAACAGCCAGCACATATTAGCACATCTGCTAGGTCCCCTGGAAACTGAATATAAACATTTTGACTTAATTTCTTTTTAATTTTCATATACAATCAATATAAAAAAATATCTTATATAAGTATGTATTGTATACAGGTAAGTATAATTTTATTCTTTATGTACTGTTATTATAATAACTATTATTTTCTAAACTTGAACTGGTACTTCTTACATAGCATAAAACAAAGTCACTATCGCTGTCTGTCCCTACGTATTCTTAAATCTTCAAAACTACAACAGATTTGGAAGAGGTTTTTTAATATAGAGTGATTCAAGAAAAAGGTTTACATATATAATACATGTACACCTGTGCGAAGCTGGGGTGAGTAGCTAGTTATTAGTACATAAAATTTAATTAATCGTAATTTTTACTCAGTAAGAACTACTCAACATGAAACATTGGTAAAATAAAAAATTGTTTAACTCTAATGTCTTTAAATCCCTATAAAGATTTCACATTGTGCATGTCATATTACTATTTGCTTCCGCTAAGTGACTTCACAGGCTGTGTTATGGTTGCATAGTAATTAATATGTGGCAGTATAATTACAAACATCATAGTATTTAGAAATATACAAACAAATATTAGCCTTACATGAAGATGTGATATCTGTAATGCTATTTATGTATATACAGTTGACTGTTGCCACTTATCATCAGAGTTTGACACTCCAAGCATATAATTAAAAAACTGACTTTGCACAAATTTTATAATCAAGTAACACTAAACTTGGCTTCTAAAACCTCTTAACCTTCTGAAGTCTGACATAATGCAAAGTAGTAAAATTAAAAGGAAATACCTTAAACTCCTTCTGTTTAGCGGTTTTAAGTAAATCAGCGACTGAAATTTCTTCACCAATTTTGTTGTTGGATTTTTTATATTCATTTTCAATATCAGAATCAGATTCTTCATCTGATGATCCACTATTTGCACCTCCTTCTGCATAAATTGAATAATGACCATAAAAAAAATACCAAGAAAGAGAATCATCATCCGGTTCCAAGCTTAGTTGAGTTAATACATAAAATACTCATACTCTAAATAATGTTTCTATAAAACATACCTGTTACAGCAAAATGATTAATAAAATCTTAATATTAGAAAATTAATACTAATAGTTTTCTTAGTTTTATAAAATAACGATTAGAGACTTTACTAGCATAACTACATACTATACTGCTATAGCTAGTACATATTTTTCTTCACTATAGTTCACCCATATAGATGTTATAAATGTATGATATCTGTTCTTTACATGAATAAACATATGTACAGATATTTAAAAAATGTGTTATACAGCTTTTATCACTTTTTGTACTAGCTAAAACTACTTAGCTATTACATTCAATATTAATGTTCATAATTTAGTTCATTCAAAAGTGTGGTGTTAACACACTATTGTTGATGGTAAAAGTATACATATACTATAACATATTACCCACTACCATTGCTATATGGAACAAAAACAAATTCTAAATATATCATGCTAATCGTTTGTTTACACTCATCACAGGTTAAGAAAGTTTAACATAAATTGTTACTGGTCAATTTGTAATGTGTAGAGTAGCATAACATTAACTTACTTTTGTCATCATCAGAATTTATAGAATAGTCATCACTTTCCTCTGGGTGGTCTTCGATGCGAAAATCTGAATCATCAGAGCTCTCCCCTTCCCCAAGATCAAAATCAAGTAAGGACTGAGGTTCAACAGGTTTGACCTTCCTTTTTGCAGGTCCACGGCCCTCTAAATATGTTAATTTAAATACGTATTATTATTTACTAAATAGCAATCTTAATAACAAAAATTCTTCAGTTAAGCACATTTTTCAAGTAGCATCAAAAAATGTAATAACTATAAGATATTACTCAACATAAAGAACGGGAGTTAATAATGACAAAATCAGTAGAACAAAAACCCTCAAAAGAATAAAAAGAATCATGAAAATTGGATCTGTATTGGATAACACCTAAACAAGAAATAGTGTAATTTGAGAACTTCATATTTTGATGTAGGTGAACATTAGATAAAATAACTTTTGTTTTGGCTGATTTGTTTAAAGAATTAAAAATCAATACAATAAATTTCATTTAATTCTATCGTTTATTTTTTCTCAAATTAAACGCCGAAATAATACGACGCACTTAACTTTATTCAAGCATATACAAAGCATTATCAAACTTATAAAACTTACGAGTGGTCATATCGTATGTTAAAAATGTCTAATTACACATTATAAAGAGGTTGTTAATATAAATAAAATATATTTATGAGAAATAATAAGAAACGCCAGACTAAAGATTATACTAATCAAGCAATTTTTCGAATCGTATTATAGCATAATAGGTATTTAGAGATGTCCGAAACCGATACATCGATATTTTTATTTGAATGTTAAGCACGAGTCGTCATATAATGAATTAAAGTATTAGTCTATGGATACGTATTAGACAACGTCGAAATCAAGACGCTAGCATCTGTATATGTAACCTAAAATAATAATAATAAACGAGTAATTCGTTACGCATATAATTATATTATATATGGAATCAAATAGGCCAAGGAGAAAATATCGATGGTTTTGCATATAAATATATTTCATTCGATAAACATCCTGCATCGATAATAGTCAATGATCGAGAACATCCATATTTATCTAATATAGATGAGAAATTTAATATGCAATGGAGATGTCCCCATTTAAATTTATAGGGAATGAATATTAACATCAATATGTTGTATTTGTCATGCAATATCATTAAGATCATTAACAAATTCACAAATTCAGACCAGGAATATAATAATTATCTTTGACTAATAACATTATAATAATACAAAAGCACGTAAGTGTTAATAGTAAGTTTTTCGAAATGGTTTGCCATTGTATAAAACAAGATTAGACGTAAAAGAGCAGTTGATTATAAAGAATAGAGAATATAAGTATATTGATTATCACATTTTAACTTATGAAGGTGTTAATGAGTTAGAAGAGACCACATATACGAATTGCAATTATATCGAAATTTCTGAACTTGTCAGTCAATTCTATAGTCAGTAGCAGTCAGTCATTGTTTTGACTTCTACAGTTCATTCTTTACCTTATAAAGCATTACAGATCAGAATGACATATTTTATATGAATGGAATTTAATCGTATTCATTTCGAATTTCATAGATTGTGTTGTTTTTTACACAGTAATACATAGTTTTCAATAAATTTAACGACTTTGTATAACTTTAGCAAAAGTTTTATTTATATTTGATTTAGTTAATGCTTGTGGTTATTGTTAATTTCACATTGTAAACATTCGCCGCACTTCGCTACCACGGTCGCTTTTATAATTCTTATATAGGTATAATTACTTTACGACGATGGTTGGATTGGATCCTGACTCGAACCGTGATGACGAATGTGATAATATTGGATTGGGATGCGCCTTGGAACACTTTTCTGAAGTAGAAGAAGTTATGAATATGATTGATAATGTGAAGAATATTTACAACACACCTTCTTTTGAAGTTGAGTATGATAAATTGTACACCATACTAAAGCAATATTATGAACAGCCTCACTTACTTGATCCGCACTTAGATAAGATTTTGTCCAAGTTTTTAACATTAATCAAGGATAAGGAGTCTCCGACTGAATTGAAACATGCCACATTCAACTATATGTATCAGATATTTAGAGTTAGAGGATACAAAGTGGTGGTTAGACACTTGCCTCATGAAGTTTCAGATCTCCTTACAGTTTTATCATTCCTGGAGGCCCAAAATCCAAAAGACAAAGAAACATGGCGCAGTAGATTTGTGCTTCTATTGTGGCTGTCCATTGTTGTGATAATACCATTCCATATGAGCCGACTGGATGGATTCGTCCCAGGACAGTCAGGTAGTACTATTTTAATTCTGTAAGTCTACAATAATATAATCTTGAGCAAAATGTAATAAATATTTATTTCAATTTGTAGATGCTGGAAGTTCAAAGAAATTAACAGTGATGGAGAAAGTGTTTAATATATGTAAGACATATGCTCTCAGCAAGGATGCATGTGCTGAAGCCAGTGCTTATTTAGCTTCTAAATTTCTCATAAGGTATGATATTAAAATTGAATAATATCCATATATGTGTCTAATATATATTGTAAAAAATTTATCATCTTATTATAAAGTCGTGGACCATTTCATGATATAGTTAATGTATGTATATAATAAAATATTTATAGACCACAAAAGATACATTTGTTTTAAGAAAATGAGATTTATATTATAAATAAACACAATATTTAATTTAAAATAATTCAATATAACTGTTGTTTAATTGAATGTCTTATAATCTTATAATGTGGGCAATACTGTGACTTATCAGAACTGTATGCTATATAATAAGTATTAATAATATCTAATTATTTTTAAGATCTGATGTAAAAGAGCTGTATATGGGGGCATTTTTTGAGTGGGCATGTGAATTACATTCCAATCTCCAAGAAGAGGACACAATACACTATGGTGTTTTGGCTACAGCGGCGGCAGTCCTGAAACATGGGAAGAGAGATGACTTGTTGCAATATGCACCAAAATTATTGGAATGGGTGACAAAACAAAATTATAAACAGCATAAAGCTATGTTAGTGAGAAAATATGGAGTCAAAATTGTTCAAAGAATAGGTATAATATCATTCATGATATTTTTTACTTATAATTATTACAATATAATTATTTATTTATATAAAGGTTAATGAGTAACAACACCACCATTCATTATTAAGTCATATAATCTGTTTCTTCCTTATCCCATTAATTTAGGGTCAGCATAATATGTTTTTCTCTTCCATTCATCCCTGTTCTCTGTCTTGATATTTTTACACACTATTAGTAACACAATTTGCCATTTACAATTACATAGTAAACACACAATAAATAATATATTGTGACACTACCTACTCACAAATTAAACCACTAGCCGACATTAAATTGACTAAGTGTATATAAATAAAGTGATTCTATAGAGGCTAGCCAATTGGTGAGATTGAGTACTCTGCAAACACCATTTGTGGCATCTCTAATCTAAATCCATAATTACTATAAATGTACTTCATCAAGAATATGTAAAGATGAAATTAACAACTAGTGCCTGTATTATTATTACAGGCTTAACATTCCTGCGGCCACGCGTCGCCTCATGGCGGTATACTCGTGGATCTAGGTCACTCGCTGTCACTCTGGGTGGGGTGCCTGCTGCTGGTGATACAGAACCTGTCACTTCTCCACCTGTTGATGATGACGAGGATATTCCGCAAGAGGTATGTAGGTATATGTTAGTGCTTAAGGTATATACAATATGGGCCAATATTGTTATAAAATAATATAAAGTTGCCTGAATTAAAATGATTAAAGACAAAATATGTTTGTATTTGTATTATATTTAAATAAAAGTGTATTTCTCATGTGTTATTCCCGAATAACAACTTGTAAATTACACTAATATTAAAAAAAGGTTATTGTGAAATTAATTGAGTTCATTCTGATTAAATTTCTTGAGTAATCTTAACCACTGTATCTATGTACAAAATCTTTTGAAAGGTACATTGTTCAAGAAAAGTGTGTAATAAATGGTCGAATTCTAATAAAATATAAATGTATATCACAGGTAGAAGACGTGGTAGAACTGTTGCTGTGTTCTCTACGTGATGATGACACCGTGGTACGTTGGTCAGCAGCGAAGGGCGTAGGTCGTATCGGCGCACGACTGCCTGCGCTCGCCGCCGCTGATGTCTGCGAGACTGTACTGGCGTTGTTCGCTGAGAATGAACGCGAGACAGCCTGGCACGGAGGGTGTATGGCGCTTGCTGAATTGGGTAAATTTACATTTACACACATAGATAGAAATCGATCGACAGCCGGCTTCAAAGAAAAGTAAATTAAAATTTCACTGTTTTTTTTATGTCTGTACAGCATGAAGCAACGCAGTAACATCATTTTTCCATTTAGCTACTTGCTAATGAAGAAATTAAATAAATACATAATGTTGCGGGTGAATAATAAGATGTTGCTGGTCGAGACGATGTATATTATGATGATAAACTGACAATGACATAGAAATAATGATCTTATATACTAAATAACAATAAAAATGTAAGGTGGGGTGACACAGTTTAGATACAGCAGTGCCTAGTAGACAATATTGAATTTGTCTTACATTATTAAATGTAATTATTATTTTGATGTATCTAGGTGATTGTGTCCCATAGATATTCCCCCCTTGAGAGAAAAAATATATATATTACACATAAAAAAAATTATTTAAGTTAACTGTAAAATTTAAGATATTATGAACTTTTGTAACAATAAAAATTCATTATACCCAAATAACGACGTAAATCTTCGACTGTCGTGGGTTTAGGGTACTCGTCGATTGCTTGCCATTTTTCTTGCGTTGGTTTCATCCCTTGGCTCGTTATATGATAACCAAGAAAATCTAATTTTATTTGCTGTCGATCGTTTTTTTTATTCATCGAGATTTTTGCTCGAGCCACTGTTAGAGTCGGTTATAGCTAGGCGGTTACTGAACAGCTTATTCTGTCACCGGCGCAGATTGGCGCGCGGTGTGTGGCGCGTTTTCGCGTATATCAGCAATTTCTGATCGGCGCGTGGCGGTGTGCAATGACGTCGGCGGTAAAGACAGCATTTTTGCTTTAGTCCAATTGTGTTTACTGGGGGTCAGTGCTTTTACAGGACACACTTTTTCGTTCTCTTTGTCCACATTTACATGCGTCGAATCCTATTTACGCTCGAAACGATGTATTTTACAGATGATGATAACGAATGTGTACGTACATATACGTAAAGGTGGGGTGACACAGGATATATAATGTGTTTGTCTTACTAGACATTATTAAATGCAATTACGCGTATTGAATATTTAAGAAATGGACAGCGCGGCGCGTCCGAGCGGCTGCCGTCGCCGCGCGGCGCGTAGGTGGGGGTGGGCGCGGGGCGCGTGGCACACTTTTCGGTCGGCGCTGGCGCGGGACGGCGTGGACAGCGCGGCGCGGGCCGCGCGCGGCGCGGCGGCGGGCGGCGCGGGCGGCGGGCGGGCGGCGCGGGACGCGGCCTGCCACGCGGCCTGGGCCTTCGCCCGCGCCTACGACGCGCGCGCGCTGCGCCCGCACGCACCGCTCCTCGCCAACGCGCTCATCGCCACCGCCTGCTTCGATCGCGAGGTTACCTATCCATATATACTCGCTTCCGAACCTGACCTCACATCTTTTATTATTTTATCTTTACATTTGCAATTTCGTCTTTGTTTTCATATATTTAATATGTACATGAATTTTATATGTACGGTGAATACCATTGTAATACCGCATAACTTATATAAAACAAAATACTGTACTTATATATCATTTCTTTCAGTTCCAAACAATATACACTAAACTGAACATTACGAAAAAATCGAAATGATTTCATAAATCAACCTACACAATAAATAAAATAAAATTCTGGTAGTGTCCGACCCAAACGATGTGTAAATATACCTGTTTCGATACTACTCAATTAAATTCTTAAATTAATTCACTACCAATTATATAATTGTTATATTAAATTAAATCTATCCTTTACTTATTTCTCACATACAATGTAACAAATATAAGATCTACTATTTCTGTAAGACGAGTTACATTTGAACATTTTTGTTTTTTGTTTGAAGAGTTTATTGTTCTGCAATCCATAAGTTAGGTTATGAATTACCATAATGAGAATACCTTTGATATACACACTGTATTTAAAATATAGAACTCACATTAACAACATATTACTTTTATTTATATAAATATCTTAATGACAAAATAATCAATTTTGTTTAATTTGTACAATTGACAGATAAATTGCCGCCGTGCAGCCTCTGCGGCTTATCAAGAAAATGTCGGCCGACACGGCATGTTTCCGCATGGTATAGATGTCCTCACAACTGCGGACTTTCAATCCGTAGGGCCACGGAACAACGCGTACCTCGTAATAGCTCCTCAAGTGGCCAACTTTCCTGAATACACACAACCCCTAATTGATCATTTGGTGGATCTCAAGGTGGAGCATTGGGACTGTGCCATACGAGAACTGGCAGCTAAAGCTCTGAACAAATTGACTCATAAGGTTAGATAAAAAAAATATATATTTAAAAATTTGGAATTACATTGTCATTGTCCCTTGTGTCACAATATGTTATAATTTCGGAACTTTAGATAGGATATGTAGTTGTTTAATTATAATTTATTTTTACAATGTATTTATAATTTTGTGTACCTATGTTTTTTTACAAACTTTTGTGAAATATGTTTGAAGTAAGTAAATAAAACTGAACATTTCATTATTTAAAAATTGGCCCGAATCTTAGAAATTTAACAATATTCATGATGAGTAAAAATGTCATACTAGTAAATTATGGTATTCGTGAATTTTGTTTATACAAAATAAATTGTGGTTCAATTCTTAACATTGTACTTCCCTTACCTTACCTTACAAATTAAAATCTTTATATACATAGAAAGATTTTAATTTGTAATTTTATTAATAATTATTCTTTCAGATTCCCGAGTATGTAGCAACAGTTGTGTTGCCGAAATTGATTGAGAAGACTGATTCTATAGATCTGAATGTACGTCACGGTGCTATTCTAGCAATTGGTGAAGCTATATATGCACTATCACAAACAAAGTTGTCTAGTGGTAAATATTATTTTTACACAAGGAGTTACTATTTAGCATTATATGCTTATATGATTTATGCAGTTAAAATACAGTAATATCAGAATTAACACTAGTCCTCAAGCCAGTTTATCATCAGCAGTCAGCTTCTGGTACAGATTTTTTTTTTATAAAATGCACTGTTTATTAACCATATATTACGAGTTGCTGCTAGAATATAGATTATATTGGTGTCAATGATGCCCAATATTTTCTTCTTTATGAATTTGTTTTGTTGTTGTTTGTTGAATTCCTCTAAATGTGGGCATATAGCTATACATAAGCTTCAACACTAACTTCACAACTTTCGAACACGATTATTTTATCGAAGTATATTAATTAATCTGCTTATGAGTTTTATGTTTTGTTAATATTTAGTTATACATTATATTATTTATAGTTTATTGATATACTTGTATAATGTTTACAGGTAAAACTGGCGATACACTTATATCTGAGGATGTTCTGATTGCTGTACGTGAATTAGTACCAAGTTTCCGTGCGCGCCACCAGTTTCGTGGTCTGGGTGGTGAACTTATGCGTCAGGCGTGCTGTCAGTGTATCGCATCACTGTCATTGGCCGGGGCACCTTATCATGCTCATTCTACTATTGGTAAATATGTAAAAAAAACAATAATAATAAATCATCCCAAAGTTTCGCACTAATTCTTAAGTTAGGTTCAGTTTATTCATAAGTTAATTCCCGCCCTAAGGGGCTTACATTTCAGCTGACCCCCCCCCCCCCTCACCCCCTAGGGGGATGCGGATGATCGTTGTCAGTCAACATATACCTACCTAATTTAACAAAATACCATGCTCAACACTGTATTTGATTTAATAGACATACTGACGTGTCGAATTATGTGAGTCTGTATGGAGATTAGTAGTCATATTTGGCGCCAAAACTAACAATGGCGGTAAGCAATATAGGAGAACAAGTGCACCGTGAGCGAACCGTTCATAATGAATTGTGAAGTGTAATAAATGTTGTAATATGGATTATACACAATTTAAACTAAAGTAATTTTGTCACTTTGGCAATGAATTGGGGTAATAATACCCCTAATATTGAGTTATTATTAAGAAGAAATAATTATATAAACTGAAAAGTTGAATGTTCACTTATTACTTAGTGATCACAATTCCTTTTCAGACGAATGGCTAAATTTAATCGAGGAATGTTTGTCACATGAAGTGCAAGCTATACGCGAGAAAGCGATACATGCGCTGCCATTAGTCTTCGACCAGTATTTAAAAGATGACAATCTAATGTATGGGAGCACCACAGCGAAGCAGAAACGTATGCAACTTATAGAGAAGTATTGTGATCAGTTGCACAGTTCCGGGGTCAACGGCCTCGTATTAAGAATGGGATACGCTCGAGCTGTGGGTAAGATAAAATCATCATCGTAATTTTGAGTACATACACACACACACATTAATGGTAGCTCTCTGGAGATGGTAAATACCGTTAACAATTTTGAAATAATTGAGAAATGGGGATACGGCACACTGTGACAAGAGTTTCAAACATGTTTTAATCCCAAAAATATTGTAATAGGAAAATTCGAAATGAAACCATAAGTACGTTTCCAGGTAGTTTGATTAGTAAAATATAATATTTTCCCTCTATTCTACAGGATCTCTACCGAAATTCCTCTTAGCAGAACATTTGCCTTTGGTAATCCAATCGCTAATAGAGTGCTCAAAAGTGAAAGATACTAGTCATAAATGGGCAGAATCTCGTCGTGATGCAGTCATTGGGCTTACAGAAGTATGTCAGACTCAAGGAATAGTTAATGGAGTCGAGAAGTATGTCGGCGAAATAGTAGAAGCCTTGCTTGAATGTCTCAGTGAATACACAATTGATATGAGGGGTGATATCGGCGCGTGGGTGCGAGAAGCCAGTATGACTGGTAAGTATATACATCTTATATATAAAATAAAATTTTAATGGACAATTATTTTTTATAAAATGATTTAATGCCAATATATTAAAAAAAATGAAATGCTATGAAATTCGTCTCTCTATAATAGTGTACGAAAGACTAAGTGATTTGAATTTTAATGATTTAACTTAACATTAATACCGAGGTCATTTCTCATTTTATTAAAATGTTGTTATTAAGGTCTATTGGCAATCTGTCGACAATGCGCCTCAGAGGCGCCACATCTGAACAGTGTCGAAGTTATAAGGAGCATCATGTGCGGCGTTGCCCAGCAGGCCGTAGAGAAGATCGACCGTACGCGAGCACACGCGGGCAGGATCTTCACATCTCTGATATACAAGTACGGAAATTCAATCTCTTTTTCATTTCTTTAATGTTTCGCACTTGTTACACTTTATTATAGATTATTGGGTTTTAAGACGAATTCTTAAATGTTAATTGAAATAATTAGTAAACTTAAAGACATTGATGGAAGATCATAGAAAATGGGTAGAGTTCCACTGACAAGAGAGCGGCTCTTAAATTATAAATTAATGAATGGTTGCGTAACGTTTGCGGTTAATTTATCATGGAGATGGTCTGCAGGCTAAGTACCCAAATGTTTTTGTTATATAGACTAGAACTTCAGTATACTATATATTTGGCGTCTTATTTTTCTGTAGCTGTAGTAAGATAAAAAAAATGACGACGCGGTGTATGTACACTGTATCATATTTTTTTTATTTATTTAATAATTATTATAACAAATTGTTTTACTTATGCATATAATTGTAATTGATTCCTTCATTAGTCTGATCCTGTCTTGCTATTATTCCAATATTTAATGTATTTTTACAGTGATCCAAAAATTGACAATATTCCGCATCATGACGCATTAAGACGTATATTCCCTTCGGAGGAAGTGGAACTGAAACCTCAGATTAAGGATTTGGAGGAGGATGTTGATCAACCAACTACTAGTGAGAATACAAATGTGGTGCTATGGCTGTTTCCCGGGCACACAATGCCCAGATTTGTCCAGTTGTTGAACTTTCCTGAATATAGATACAATGTTATCAAAGGATTGGTAGTTAGCGCTGGAGAATTAACTGAGAGTTTGGTTAGTATTTTTACAGTTCACCATAGGCATCGTAACAACCTATAGATAGACATTCCTCTTAGCTGAACATCTTCCTACTGCATACCCATACACACATGTTTTACTTAATTTAAAATGTTATACCTTAATTTTATTGTTACAGGTGAAACATACCACACAATCTCTATATTCCTACTTGAACTCATTGCATGATAATAAAGAAATGCTGACTGCTATTTGTGATACTATTATACGTGTGTTTGCGGATAATATTCAAGTCAAAAGGATTACGGGACCCATATTCAATTTCTTGGATAGACTATTGAGTTCAGGTAAGTTATAATTTACATTTGTATCAAATATTTTATTTTAATTATCTCTTTATATAAATTCTATTAGTTAGTGACATTCAAGTATATGAAGAAATGGCTTTTATTGCCGTTTCATATGTCTTTTCTCATTTTATTTGTTACCACTCCATTTCATTATGCAAAGATGTTTTAAGAAGCTCCTAACTTATAACAGAACAAATACAAGCAGCATGGAGCAAAAAAAGGAACACTCCAAGCATAAGAGTGCCCAACAGAAAACCACCTAGCCCGTCTCTAGCTGAGTCCCGCAGTACTGTAATAATAGTTTGTTTCGCTAATAAATATCTGAATTATAAATTAGTAACGAAAAAATCAATCTTATCACGTTTTATTTATTTTTATGGAGTTCCCGATATTCAATACTATTTAAATAGTAGCAACAAACGCAGACGTGTAAAGGAAGACGAAAATGTCTGCCCAAAAAAAAAAAAATATTTACCGACTACTCGCTGCTCTTCAATTTGTAAAAAAAAATGTAAAATAAAATATTCTATCATATTATTTTCTGTGCTCAGGTTCAATATTACCCATACTGCAGGACTCTGAATCGACATTTGCTATGGATATATTGAAGTATTTACAATTGGAACTTAGAGGCGGAAAGAATATTTACAAACTACTGGATTCTATAAATGTGTTGTGTCAATTAATACAGGTATGTCACTGAGATCTTTTGTATAAAATAGTTAAATTTACTAATTCGTGAATGACAACAACTAAAGTTATTAATCCCCTATTCGGTACATATCATAAATGTCCATTATGTTTTAACAAAAAGTATCTTGTTAGATACTTTACGACTTATTAGATTTTGATTGATATAATAGGTTTATATTTTTTACTCTTATACGGAAATATTACTAAATGTATTCGGATTAAATTTGCAACGGATATCTTATTCTAATTTAATAAATAACACATTGCTTGCCTGAATTCACTCGCAATGTAGGAGCAGCGAAGCATAAATAACTTGTCATTAATTTTTTTAATTATTTGTATTGTTGCCAATATCATAATTTCTGTGAAACATATATTTTTAATTACGAATGATAGGCAACATCTACATTGGCAATAAACTATTGTTAAATGTTATTTAAAAAATCTACGTGTGGTATTAATGTAATTAGTAGAACGATCAATACTTACTTTTGTATGTTCATAGTTCAAGTTATCTAATTTATGTTCAAGTGGTCATTTTTGTAATAGTTATAAATCAGTATCATTCATTCATTAAAAAATACTCACTATAATCGTTTTTATGGTAATCAAATTTCTTCAAAAATAATACATTAATTGCCTAGATATTTTTATAAACATGATGATATTAAGCATTATTCAAATAAATACATTATTTACTATAAGTATTTAATTTTGAACAAAATTGTCCTTTACTTCATTGGATTTCAACGTACGCTTTAGAAGATATCTCACATTTTAACTATAGAATAAATGCATAGTTTGTTGAAAAAAAAATCAAATGTAGTATCCTAAAAATAGGACAGTGGGAAGGAATGGGTTAAACATTGGGTCCGACGAAGCCGAAGCGGATTGCTAGTTTTAAAATATATATGTTCGTTTTTTATTTATTTATTTTAGGAATATTAACGGTCCAAATTAATTATTTTATAATGTGTTTTTATAATGGTTAGGTGGGCGGCACAGTATGCCGTCGTTCACTGGGCCAGCTGGTGATCTACCTGTGCTACGCGGATCGCTACGTGCGACGCTGCGCTGCCGCGAGACTGTACGAGGCGCTCACGCTTTACGGCGACGAGTGTCACCTACCAGCCAACAACCTCGACCAGGCACGTGGTTTTTTTACCATTACAACTATAATAAGACTCATCATAATTAACACTAATCAGAACCGTGTTACGTATTATAAGGCATCTTCTTTGCTGTAGGCACTAATGTATCGTTCAAAATACGAGTACATAATATAAAAATGTACATAATAATAATAATAATCATATACATAATGTAAAAGAGCAACACGCAAGTTTCTTTCTTCTTCTTGTGATGAGACAGCGGTAGATTAAAAAAATGTAATGACTATTCAAAAGTGCTTCAATGTAAGTTTATTTGAATAAATGATTTTCTATTCTATTCTATTCTATCACGTATAAACCACTGAACCGTACCTATATGATGCATTTTGGTATAGGAATTGCGTCTCTATTTTTACACCGAGAAGACAGGTATTAATTAATAATAAAAGTAGCCATTGTTAATTGCGAATAACTTATAGGAGATGGATTATTTTTTACATGAAATAAGCGTCTTCTTTGCAGAATTATTGTTGGCACGCGGCTTCGGCTTAATGTTTATTTTTACAAATATAAAATTTAAAAAAATAATCCAAAACGCGAACGAAGCCGCGGTTTAAAATAATATTTATAGAGAACATTCTTACTTATGCACACTCGTATAGTATAGTTTACATATTTTTGTATAACGTCGGTAGTACGTTAAAATATTTATTGATAAAATTTCAGAAATAATATGTCACTATTGATGACTTTGATTGTAATTGTTTAAAGCACTGCCTTATTAGCGTTTGTAAGACGACTGACGCTATAATTTTATCAATAAATAGTATCTTTACGTACTACCCACTTTATATTAAAATATGTTTTGATTCCATGTATTTCATATGGCATAATAGCATTGATTCCGCCGAGTTAATTATTTTAAACAGAAAAATAAATAAAAGAAAATAATGTTTTGGGAATATTGAATTAATTTTTTGAAGAATAAGATATTATTGAGTTACTAATTTAATTTTAAGAGAGGGGGTTTTTAAGTTAAACATTTTTTAAATTGTATATTCAGGTGATGTCAATACTCGCTGACACCGATTGGGAAAAGGATGTAGCCGAACTAAGGCCAATAAGAAATGAACTGTGTGATCTCATGGAAATTAAGAGGCCGGTATTGAAACAGAAGCCGTAGAGAAATTTTTGTATCCAACAGTGAAGAGTAAAATTTAATTTCCGTTGTTGCCTCACGCCTAATGCGTTGTAGTTTGTGTTGCTCTTTGGAGCAATTTTAATTTTAATAAAACGCATATAATCTACTAATATACTTTTATAACTTTAAACAGCTTTGCGAGGTAAAATAATTTGAAGTAATACTAAGTTCGTGATAATACTTGGCTACTCATATATAGATAAAATGAGTCTATTTCACATCCATATAATATACAATTGTGTGTCGTTTGTATTATATGATTTGTAGTGATTATTTGCGAACTTATTAAATAATTCGGTGCTTTAAAAATGAAATTATATTACGCCTATCCTATAGGACTAATCGATTAATTTTAGTTTATTATGCGTATATGTCGTGACAAACCGTAGAATTAATCATATGAGGAGTTAGTCGACCATTTCCTCAACTAGTTAAATTTCATGACTACTGTTTAATAATCATATGTATTATTTTTATTTATTGACATCATGTTTGTTAGTTTCGTTTCAGTGCATTAATGTAATAATAATATTCTTATTCCTAGAATTATTAAATTTTATCATCTATATTTGTGTAGGCAATTGTATTTATATATAATGTATATATTAATGCATTTTCCTCAATAATGGCATTATTAATTTTGTTAATTATTGCATCACTTTTAAAGGACGACAACCATCATTGTATTCGTCGCCATTTTTTATTGCATCTACAAATTGTAATTGTAAATATGCACTTATTATATATACACATGAGGTGCCAACCTCATGTGACTATATAATAAGATGAACGTATATTTGGAATTTTTATATTCAAAATCTTATTCTATATCTCATGTCTTATATATTTATCTGTATTCATTGAGGTGGTCTATGCTTATCAAAGTAATTATTAAAAGAAGTAGTCTTTTATTTTGTGAAATCGCTGATGGTTTTATGATAATGATCAATTCTACGATTTGACATCATAACACAAGCCTCAATAATAAATTACGCTTAAATGATAATGAGCATAGTTTAACTATTTGGAATATCATTGGAAATGTACTGATATTAATCTACCTAAAGAGTTGTCTATTTTCTTTTTCCATATAATAAAAAGACTTTAATTTATTTTTAACCTGTTGTTTTAATTCTAGTTTGTAAATAAAACAAGAACTACTTATTTATATTAAAATTTATTAACTTAAGTTCTAGTGTATAAAATTATATGTCTAGGCAACAATAACATTCGGTAGATATGAAACAATACGTTATATTTATAAAGAATCAGACTATTAAATCTATATTTTACTGTGAGTAGAGGGTATAACGCAGATTGTTGACACTCCAGTAAAATTTGTTTTTAACCGTAGATTCTAGAAACAATCACAGTGACAGACGCAAAGAATAAAAATGTGTCGTTCTGACGCCTTCATTAGAACATTTTATATTTGATATGTATAATTTTGGAATACTTGCAAAACTGTTACATAATTTAATAGAGCGTCCTTGACGTTACGACCTATATGAATCTGAATGTGCCTACAGTCGTTTCGAACAGATTAGTGCACACCTTAGAATAAATTAGTCTTAATAGACATACTACTTCTATATGTGTAACAACAATTTATAATTTACATAATTTTCTCGTATTAACACTTGTTTTGGTACTATTTGCAATGAAATTGGAGTACTTACGTAACACGGCAACCTTTACATAGTATAGAATTAAATCGCTTCCGCTGTATGTTCACTTAGATCTTTTAAACTACGCATTGGATTTTAATGAAGATTTTAGCAATATATAGCGTGATTCAAGAGAAAGATTTTTATGTGCAAAACATATACACCCCTGCGAAGTTAGGGCAGGTAAATAGTATTTATATAATATGTTTCCGCCGTGCATTCTTGTACCTCTCACAGTTATAACAAATGCCAGAATATTACATTTAAGTTCTACTCAAAATTTACACCGTCATTCTCAGTTAAAGTCAAATAAGTTCGCCCGGCTAATCAATGCATAGAAAAGGAATAAATCTATAATTTTCATGCAAGTATAAATCATTTAATTAATAACATTAGTATATATTTGGTAATTGCTTCCCAAACGTGATGTTTGTAACTAAGCCCATACAATATTATATAAATCTATTATGTCTAATAAATAATGTTTTGAATACTTAGAGCTATTCTCAACCAAGCACTTGCAGCTGCGATGGATCTTGTGGTGCTTCAGCTATTATGTTGGCCCAGAAAGTTCCATAGTTCTTCAAAACAGTGCCTCTGAAATGTGAAATAAATATTCTCAGGATTGAGATGAAGTGCCTACTTTATCTTAATCATTAGATTTCTCAGAAAATTTGAGCTCTATTACATAAATTTAACGCGAGAGTCAAAAGTATTAAAATAGTAAGCAGTATTTTTGCGTGTAGGTGTCGTATATTATAAGTACGCAATATCCACGAAGTCTGAACTCTAATAATGCAAAGAATAGCATAGAACTAACACGGCAGCGTGAAATATACTATTTATTTTAGGATAAAACATACCTACGGTTTTATCTGATGATTGTTAAGTTATGAGTCTTATGAGGCTCCATTCCACAACCTATTTGATAATATAAAGACAACAAATTTTGCATTTATATTTTTTCTACGTATTTTGTGATCTTATTTATAATAGCATGAGATATGGCCGTAATTAATACTGAATTATTTTGATGTTTTATTAATGATAGTGTGTATTACTATATCTTTCTAGAACAAGACTAAATTACCTAAGTAAATTTAAGTCCTGTTGACCTTACATCGTCGCGTGTAACTATCGTTGATTGCACTAAATTAAAGCTTATCTTCAAGGTCACCAGCGTAAAGGCGTTCATGACTAGGTCATGTTATGCAATAAATTCGCTTTAGTATGTTCAAGTGAAAGGAACTTGCTTATGGAGTATAGAGATAGGGGCATCGACCTCATTATTAAATCTGGTTCCAACGTATATGTGCATGACGTCTGTCCCGAACGTTCTAACGGTCTTATAAAACCTACTGTCCTAATTTATATAATTACACTAGCTGTTACTTGCGACTTTGTTTGTTTGTTTGATTTTTTTTAATTATATTTTTTTATATAATAGTAGCCTAAATTATTCCTTATAACATTAGCTATCTGAGAAAGTCCCGTCAAAAACGGTCGAGTCGTTGCAGAGATTGACAAGAACAAACGAACATATCGACATACAAAATATTTTTAAACAATTTTATCATATCTACCGTATATAGTTTCATATACGTTTAGTGAAAAGCTGTTATTTGTAGTAAAAAAAATTAATAGATATATTTTGAAATTATGAATGATGAGAAAGTATGGACTATCCATACGGAGATGTATTTGTCCTATAACTCAAAGGGCAACAGTGCATTTTGTAATGTCCGTCGTTCTGTTTATAGTCAAATGGTAATATCATTATGGATCATTGTAGCCTTCCCTACATACCTACCCATTCCCATCAATTTGAAAATAAAATGTATTAATGAAGCCAGATATATATAATAGATATGAACATAATACCATACAGAAAAAAATGTCAGTATTAAATCAAATACTGGTGCATACATTGATACATACTTAGAACGAAACAACAAAGGCTTAACTCATACGAGTACAAATATTTTTATTTGCTTTGTGATTGTCAATGTCGCCAATACTGGGAATATGCTATTCAATTTGTGATTACAACTAAGGTACGGTACTGATATTTTATGAATGCGATATTTTAGAGATAATACCTATCTTTACTTCCTTATCCACTACCATCCAAAATGTAAGTATAAAAATTGGAGATCACTTATTTGTAACGTTTCATGTTAGATAATATGTAGCTGACCTAAATATTGGTAATCTTTCTCTCTTTTTCCTAAAAAATCAGGGATTTGTACTTCTACATGAAATAGTAATAGGTAAATAGCATAGAGTGTATAATGAGGTGATGAATTTGCCATAATGGACTAACTGATGAACAACATGTTTATCCTATCACATACCTCACTACTACCACCATCCAGCGTATATCGTTAACACAGGATGAAGAACCATTATCATATTCATACATCAAACAATATATCTTCATATATTGTAAATTAAATTACTTATGTAGCTCTCATATAATTTGAGTAAATATAAAGATACCCAATAATTACAACTTTTAAAGGTTGTTTAGGAGATCGTGAACCTACTTACATAATTAATATTGTAACTAATACCTTATATTGAAAATTATATGCATTTCCATACTTGAGCTCTAATTTGTCACTACTCTAAACCTTTATATTAGATCACAGCTTAAATTGGAAGGTTTGTCAGTCCCAATAAATAATGAACCGAGAGTTTTCAAATAGGTAAACGAAATTTAGCGACGAACATTAGTTTGCCATTTATAGTTCCCTTTCACCCAGTTCCCTTTAAGTATAATAAGAAACCAAAAATTTTTTTTTGTCGAAATATGATTAAACCTTTTCGAAGGAGTTTCATAACAAACACGATATTTTTAGAATATTCAATACAACTTACGTGAAGTATACACGCCCTTGAGCATTTGGTGGAGCGCGCCACACGAGCGTCGCTCTGGTCTTCTCTCGTGGGTCTGCATGTGTGATTGAGGAACATTCAGGATGAATAGTCGTGTTAGGCGCTTCTTCCCAAGACCCTAACCATTCATCTCTGTCCACTGAGCGGGCTTGAATGAAAAACCCTTTGAACGGTTCAGCTCCTTCGATGGTTACTGGAATTTCACAATAATAGCAGTAAGAGTTAATACTCTAGCGATGAATAGACTAACAAAGCGAGTATGTAAGTAGAATTGTTTTAAAATTTTCGAATAAGTAACTACGAAAATATCAATAACAATATAGTGTAGACGAATTAAGAAACTTCTGAGAACATCTCTTCTATTAATAACAAAAGTAGGCCATGTATTCATTAGTAGGTAGATTTGAAACACAGTTTTTTAAAATATGATAGATATGAATATGAATACAAAATTACATAAATCTGACTTTGAATAGATACATATCCACTTACCTAACTAAATCTAATTAAGAATTCAGCATGAGTTGATAGTTGAGTCGTTATGTTTTTATTTTTTTATAACATTATAGAAAACATATTAAGTAACCTGTGTAATAAGTATTACAGGCATTTTCTAAAGCTTGATGTGCAAATCGATTGTATCACAAGGAAGGACATTTTTTATCTCATAAAAAGCAGACGAAGCCAGGGGTTATCTAGTTTCTCATAAATAAATATTCTGGATGACTTATAAGTAGTTATATAACTTATATTGCATTATAAATTCTTAGTAATACATTGCGGACTTAATTGAAGTCTGTAAAGATTTTATCAATGAATTACTTTTCCTTTATTGGATCGTCCTACAATATTATTTTTATACTGCCTATTTCAGTAATTAAATAAAATACTTTAATCATGTAACTATACTTAGCCTCGATGAAAAGTCATAATGTAAATAACAGTTACGATAGTATCTCCGAATGAACAAAAAATAGTATGTACTACTGTAGGTATATAACTTTATTATACAATTTGGAATAGAAACGTGTATTGGACAAAGTGACCTTAAAGGAAGTGCAAACTGCAGTTAGCACTTCCTTTGACCAATATTATGAACAATTTAACATGTAAGTAACTGCATATGTCAACTGTTTACAATTTTTTATTGAATAAAATCGCTGTTATAATTTTTAGTTAAGCGACAATATTTTATACTAAAATATTTCTTGTGAAACTTGTCATATGTAATGAAAACTGTGAAATTACGAGCAGAAATGTATTAACTATCTCTACCTAAAGCAGGAGAGAGCAGGGTTTTGTTTTTGTATGGGGAGGAATATTAATTTTTGATTGAATACTTATGTGTGACCATGATTTCTTTATGCTTTAGGTAGCGTAGCCAAATCAAAAACATTGATTACTGTAAAGGAACGTCATGGTTATTACTTATAGTGCTAAATAGAGTAGGCTAAATGTACATAGGTACACCTACTCTATTTAGCACTATAAGAATCCATTTTCTTATATTTACTCTATAGTAAGTATAAGAAAATATTTTTATGTGTGATAATGAAATGGTGCACCACTATTAAATAAAATGATAGGATGAGCATGAAGACATCGTGACGAATTAACCAAGAATCAAACAGGATGGTACCTCAGGAGGGCTGGGTAGAGGCCGATCTGTTAATATTGTAAGTATCAAGTTTATTCTCCTCAATAATATGTGTTCACTATAAATTCTGTTCGATAAATACCGCATCGTTCTCTTGCAAAAGTTTTCTCTTGCAAAGGTTCTTAACCAACAGTGTACTTAACACAGTAAGCTAGACTTCTAAACAAATAGTATAATTAATCTACTTACTTTAAAATGCACATTCAAAAATAACGTTTCTTAAAGCAAAACTACTACTGTATTTTTAATCACCGGTTTATTTCAAAATTTCGTAGCCAATGAAAGTTACAAAATAAGTTAAGTGGTAGATACGATTGAGATGACTGATAAAAAATGCAGTACCTATATTATGTCTAAACATAACATATCTATTCAGCTATAAATAATCTGATTTACCGTAACCTACCTATTGGCCTCAATATTTTTATGCCATACAATGATAATTATTTATATGTCTGTTATTTACTTTACAGCTTAGTGAGATTGTAGTTATCTTGGAGTATTATTATTAAAAACAATTTCTGATAAATTACATGTCATATTTTTCTTTTGTAATTTATAGTAACTTTAGAAGTTAAAATATAATTCTTTAGTTTTGATCAATTTGTATTCTTTTTCGGGTTTGTGGACTATTTATGGCTATCACAATGAAAACATGTTATAGTTTAAACAGTGCTGTGGTTGTTTACTTTGGTTTTACCAGTTTGTCATTGTGTGAGCAATAATTAAGAACTAACGAAAACAATGACTATCGAAAATATGATATGTTCCGTAATATATTTACTTTGTATAAAATGAAGTCTTCTGTCTCTTAAACAATGCAGGTCATTTTAAACTGCTTTTAGCAATAGAGTGATCCAAGAGGAAGTTTATATGTATAATACATTTAATTTATAAAATAGTAAAATGTATTACACAAGGAGTAGGCAACGGGCTGCGCCAACAGTATTCTATAATACATACCTACCCTTCATCATTAGAATCATTATTATCCATTTAAAGATAACAAATATGAAGAACTATTGTAATATTTTATAATTTATTACTTGTTCCTCCTCCGATATCGTCAACACCTTAATCACGACGATTCAACATTTGTGGTAAAAAATACCCGCTAACAATATAACAATAATAGTAGTAGTAATCCAGAACAATTAAAACAGCACCATCTAGTCACAAACTTATAATAGAGCTTGTACCTACTATAGTGACACATACAAATACTTCAATAGTTTTGTATTCTTATGTAGTGACTGAATTTGATGTACTCTAGTACAAACAGAAAATATTTTTACTTTAAAAATCTTTATTTTGTGAATCTGATATTTAGCAAACAATATTTTATGTAGGTACGTAGTTACGTAGTACCTTCCATAAGAATAGAACACAAACATTCGAAATAATAAACATGTGCTATATATATATATATATACCTCGTTAAAAAATGTTATATATTACCATTTACTTCAAGTACCAATATAATTAGATAACAAATCTGAAATATTTAATAAAAAACATATTTACACTACTGCTACATGTGTCTATTGCCTTCGATCCTTTATCTCTAAATTGTTAATTGTTCGATATCTGAGCATTAATCATGTACTTACTTAAAACTAATAATAACGGAAGCGTAAAGCGTAAACGGAACCAATTGAACATGATTTCAAAATAAATATCACACAATTCAATATGAATAGCTGTTCTCGTTTATTGATGGAGTTATGACATGCATGTATACAGAATATAAGAATCAATACTTTAATATTTTGGTTAAATTGACCATAAAAAATAATTCCTTGAACTTGTAAAAATATAGTGTCATTGAAAATCTCTTTCTATCTTGTATTCTATATCATACCAGTAAAAGAATAAATTACATATTTATAAAACAATAAACAAACACACCTGTGATGGCCGAGTTTGGTCCAAACGCAGAGGAAGATGCTACAATCCTATAAGGTAGCGTGGAAAGGGGTTGTGTTCTGTGCTGTCCATGATTTGGTTGATTAGGGCGGTCTTTCACACACGCATCTACCGGTGCACCATCGGGGAAGCCATACACACCCCAACACAATAATAATAACGCAAAGACTTGATACATATTTTGCAAAATATATGTAACTATATGTTTATATTTCGGAAGTGGCCGTTTGAAGATACCAAAGTCGACTGTGCGCAAGCGAGCTGCTCCGTTCACTTTTGTAAGTCAACTTCGAAAGGGTCCAGATTTATACAAATGGACACATCAATTAATATTTGTTCGTTCGAAATTTAGGTGTGCCGAAACTTGGCTGCATTGCGCAAATGTCTTAGTGTAGACATTAAACTTTTATTTTGATATTATATAGTGGAGGATCTAGACTTATAAATGCATTAATTAAAAATCTATGAAACATTTATGTGTAAGTGTAAGAACTATTACCTACTCTATCATGTTGTAAATGGATGTGTAATTAATGAAAATTGATGTAAAAATACTCTTAGATTTTATAGTCGTCTAGATCTATGCCGGCTGTGTACTTTTAATGTTCTATGTAACTGCAGTGCCAGACAAGTTCACGCCCCACCTGATGGAAAGTAGCGACCTTCACCTATATACATGAAGTACTACAGACATCACACGCGATGCCATTCCACAGGACTACAGGACTGTATCCTATGAATATATTTTTAAGACATTAAATAGTTTACCTATAATTTACATTTTTAAGATTCATTATTCTATAGATCAATAAAATAATAATTATACGATGAAACATACATACATACATACTTTTAATCATTATGAAAGAAGTATTCTGAACACATATATGAACTTTCGTGATTAAAATTTTTGGAAAGTTCTTTCACACATGTTTCTATAAGTATTGACCTGCATCTTACGGGTAACTCCGATAGATATTTATTAAAAGTAACGCCTCAAATAAAAACATTTTTATTTATAAAATAAGAATATACTTATACAAAGCAGTAAACCTTTAGGTCACCGATATTTACAACCCTTTGGAGATTACCAAAGCACTTGTAAACGTTAAACTAAACAAATTATTATTTAAGTAACTATTTAATCATTATTCGTCAATAAATCTTATTTTATCTTCTTCTTTCCTATTGGGGGAAAGGAGGTCTGGGTTCAACTTTATTGGATCATTATTATCAATGTAGTTTATTATTTCATCTAGCATGTCATCAGATACAATGCCATCGGATGCGTTATTATCATCTACATTACCTTTTTGCAATTCGTCGAGTTTATTTTTGTATTCTTGATCATTATCTACAAATTCTTTTGCATTAATATCTGCTACTTTATTTTCGAATTTTATTATTGGAGAATTATTTTCGGCCATAGTTTCTACCAAAATATCTTGTGTTGGATTTCTCTTTCTTAATCCCATTTCTGGTACAGTTGGTTGTTTAGGATTTATGTTGTCTATGTACTTTTTTTCATAATCGTTTTGTGAATTATTGTAAATGCTGTTATTTGGTGACGAAGCGCTTTGGATCCAGTCAGGACATTCTATAGATACACTGGACGCGTTTGTAAAGCCATAATAGTTATCGTCTTTCGATTCTTTGTTAGGAATGTGTTTAGAAGTACTTTCGTCAACAGACCTTACAAAAGAGCAATCTTCATTGGGTACATCCTTATCAATTATTTCATAAACGGGTTCAAGTGTCTCACCTAATTTTTCAGTTCCTTGTATGGATATTATTTCAGCGACATGTAAATTTGGTCTAATTGTAGCGTAATCATTTTTGTCATTATCATCTACATGTTGAGATGCCAAGCCTGTACTGAAAGTGTGCCTTCTGTCAGAATTGATGTTTGTACTCATCCTGGGATATGTGGAATTGCCTCTAACTCGAGATTTTATTGCCAATTTCTTTTTTTTGTACGTTGCTTTAACTAACATGTGAACCTAAAATAGACAGAACAATAATGGTGACATTTATATCTCAACCTCTATAATTAAATTGCACTGCCTTATACTTTGGATTAGCGTCGTAACGATTGACTAGTAGGGGACGCCATTTTTGGCTAGCATTGAGAGATAGAAAAATAAATAAATAGAAATAGTGTAAAGATAATAAGAAGGAATTTGAAACACGGTAGAACTCACAATATCATATACCTAATAACAACGTGTAATTTATGGAAGGCCCCTAAGAGTAATGGAGCATTAAGTTTAATGTTACTAACAAATTACCTCCTTATTAATATAGCAGTATAACAAGGCCACAATGAATCCTTGCAGTCCTTCAACTGTATAAGCGATGTAGTAATACGCTTGCTCGCCAGTACAGTTGGTGGTGGACGGCCTGAACGCAGTCAGCAGAAATTGGATCCCAAAAATTGGCATCAGAAAGAGGGATGCCTTGGCAGTATTCCTTGGAACAAAATTGTATATTTATTACATTTTATCCTTATACTGACACTAGAAATTGAATATATGCTATAATAGAATGTATGTTATAATAGATCCAGTATTTCACAATTTTTTTTTATATAAAAATGTGATCAATAGGTTTCATAACCTTACTATTAATGATCTAAATTATAGGAAAATAAAATAAATTACAGAGGCCTTAATATTATTGAAAAACAATGTTCATCAACATATTTATAAGTCGGTTAAAATAAAAAAGTAATAATCATTCACATTCCCATTTTTAGACCCAGGTTTCATTTTATAAGATAAATATTTATACTAATCTGCGCTATCGCCGGTATTTTATAAATCACGGATTGGTATTTTCGCAATCTAATCACGGATTACGACAATATTCATAATTAAAATTTCTTTAAAATATGAAAGCATTAACTGCTTATTTACATGTTGTATAGACGAGTAGCAGTAGTCAATACCTACTATGTAATCATCTGGTACTCACAGTTGATTCGCATTCTCGCTGTTCCTAACTTTAGTCAACAAAACTCTCAGCACATCAGCAAATAAAATGGTGTTGATTACTAATATGGCAATCCTGGGCGAATCCAGAATCCATTGGATGTTATCGACAGTGTATATTACCCAGCAAGAATGGTCGTTGTGAATACCCATCACCGTTGCCCAAGCCACCACGGGGACAATGGTGACCACTGTATGCAAGAAGATAAAGATAAATTTAATAAAAATATATTATGGGCATATTTTAATGGGTATATTTTAAACAAACTTGAAAGATTACTCATATCTCGTTTTATTTTGATTTGTTATGGGTGTTTCCATCACCGGGAACTCTGATAGAAAATTAATTAAGATGAAGTGTACTGTTTTAAATTTTAAATCATTAACAATTATTTTAAATTATGTCCTACGAAGTCTTAGTTGGTAGGCGCAGACCCAGCTCTACTACCTACATTTATTTTCCTATAGCATCCCATCTACCATTATGCAGTCCTGTCATCTCCTCCGGTCGATCCCCCGTCCAATTCGAGCCGAGGTTCGAACCCCTTGTTTTCTCCTCAGACTAAAGTCGAGCAAGAGTTGACCTTCAGCCTCTCCTATAAGTCCTCCCGCGGGTTTGGTAGCCAATAGTTCATTAAAAAGAGATTTAGGCATGTGGTGAGCCACCCGGACCTTTCCAGCCCAGTCCGACCCAGCTAACGAAGTTGTTTAAACAAAAGAATAGAACAGCACTTTTGTACTTACCAGTACCTATAACATATAACAAGTTTATATTTATTTTATTTTTAAAGACAGCAACGATAAGACGATGGAGATAGATTCCCTCTATGAGCATGCAAACGAATACAGCGTTGGCAGCGACGCGCTCCAATATGCTGAGCATACGGCATGCTACACTGTGGTTTGACATTACTGTGTCCTCAGCGTTCCTTAGTTCGTCTATGTATATCTGAAGATGAAAAATAGACAGTATTAATGCATTCATTTAATTCTTATAAGCTATATGGATTCTCAATGCAATTGCATAGCAAGTTTTACTCTACAGATATATTTATATATATATACCTGCTTATTCATATTTTAAAGACTAATATCATTATGTGGATTATTTCTGACAACATTTTTTTCTGGTTACAAGTAAATGTATAATTGTATTGCTTTTTGTAGATCAAAAGGTAAATTGTTTATAAAGATTTACAAGGTCTTATCTATTGTGTAGACATGATTTTGATTGACGGCGAATTAAAATCATACCTAAAGAATACATATTACATATATAGTTTAGGTATAATTTTTGGTAGGTATATTGGTGCATCATCATCGTTAACGCTGTTATTCGTGTTATTTGGGGTCCAGTATAGGCTAGCCTATACCCTAGCCTACAACACCGAGTAGACCTAGGTCTACTCGGTGTTGTAGGCTGTATTGCGGTTGAAGGATAAGAAGATAAGGTAGTGACATTACAATACCTATAAGACGTCTGAAAACTTTGTCCTTCCGAATGGTAAAACATAGGAATATATTTATTCTTACAATTCCGATACCACGATAATTTATAAAAAACTTACCACACTTCTACTGATGATAACAAGAATATTTCTGATAACAATTGCGATGAGCAAGTTTCTATGCAATATCACCCTCGTAATCCTTAGCCGTTTATAGTAGAAGAATATGAATACAGCTGGTAGGCAGGAAACAATGGAGAATGCCAGAATAGAGATGTGGAAGTGATACCGACGGATGAGGCGCGGAGAGATACTGCATGTTGAATAATCAGTATTGCGCTCCCACGTGCCATTCTCATAACACTCTTTGCTGCTGAAATCTAAAGATTTATTTTATATTTAATGTGTGTGGACTATTTCCAAACGGCCAGAGGTAGAGTCAAATAACAGCAGATGCATCAATTTTTATATTAATTCTGGCTGTTATCTCGGACTTTGTCTACTGTTTTTGGAATAAAAGCTCATATCCTCCCTTGGAACACTATTTATCTTAACGTCAGTTTTTATTTAGGTCTGTTCAGCCGTTTAGCTTGTGAAAAGCAAAACAAACAGACAGAGACACACTTTCGCATTTATAATATGCATTTTTTGTTCAGTTTTTGATTACTAAAATATCAATGCATTATTAATAAATTATTTTACAATATTAAATGGATTACTAACAATATTTTTAATCCTGTACTTAAATACCGATTAAATCTAAGAATAATTGTGACTACAACTGAATTTGCCATATATTTATGTAATAAAATAAAAACATAGGTACATATTATCAAATCATTGGTTTGGTAACAATTAAGTAGTTTATTTACTTAATATGTTTCTTTTCTAACGTTTTTTCTTGTATATTTCTCTTTTTATCTTTGAATAGTATATGTAGAATATGTAACAGTAAATGCAATGTGAAATACAAACTTACGGTGACAAGTCGGCCCCGAGTTAGAGTAAGCGAAATCAGAACATACTTCATAAGCGATGGTGTCAGCAGGCGCGCCCCGCCAACATGTCCAAGCATCGAAAGTTGTACCGCATCTGGTCTCATCTAGAACATTCCACAGATACATTGAACAAAATTAAAAATAAATATAAAGTTATTTAACATACCTTTAATGAAGTCTTAATTAAGAATAATCTATCGCAACCATTCATTTTACGACCGAGTTGGATTATTTTTATTTTATGCCATATCGCGGAGAAATATCAATTTCCAAATCCGTTACCGATTATGTATTTTATACGATTTCCTCCCGTGTTAGTTAGAGCTTTTTTATATTTTCTTGTTACTTTATACCTACGTGGTACGAGGTGGTTTAATTTATTATATTTCATTGCTGTTAATTATCAAACTATTTTTGATGAGGGGGAAGGGCTTATTACGATATGAATTACCATCGGGATTAATATTTACTAAATAAATTTGAGTTCCTAAGTTCTAGTTGAACCTATATTAAAACTATGAACAGTAGTTAGTATATATCTAGCAATAAATTAAATTAAAAGATTACGTAATTTAAAACAAATCTAATAGTTTTCTATGCCTTTGTTTTAATAAGTAAATAAATCATTTTTTGTGCTGAAGTAGGTATATGATAAGTATCAAAACCTGATTAATTTAATTGCCAATTCAATACTTAGCCATGTGATGTGATTGCATGAATGAGTTAGACGCATACCTACTAGGTAATTTTCCCAGAAAATAAGATTATCGCCATTTTGTATCTAAGTACATGTATGACGCAAAAGCAGACCGGACTCTTATTATTTGAAAGTTGTAATATCTACTTAGAAATTTTTACATGTGAAGTAATTTCAGTTAATTTAGGTTATACCTAGTTAAATTGACTGAAAGTATCAGTGGCTTGGGCTGGTCTTTGCCCACTTGAATTATGATAAAAATAGCATTCTACGGTTTATACTGTATACTGTCTAGCCGTATACTGTAATTGCAATCCATCAACGCATCATTTACTAAAAGAAATACCGCCTTCATTTGACGACCGCAGCTCCAGTCTCTTGACGTCCGAATACTTTTGGGAACACATCTTAGACTACTATAATTTTTGTAATTTTTGTCCTGACAATTTTTCGTAGAATATTCCAAGTACTTTTCCTGCGGTCAATCAAGCGACTGTGGAAATAAATGACTTACTGGACGTGACGGGTTCTTCTGCCAGGTATTCGTCACAGCATTCCTTGGCCTCATGGAAGCATCTTTGAAAACGGTCGCGGGATGAAGGAATCAGAGCATTTTCCACAACCCTCTTAACCTCTTCAAAACCAGGATCGAAAGGATAGCAACCGCATGTTCCATCTTCCTTTGCCTAAAAATATACTGCACATATAAGTGAATAGCATGGTGTGTGAAAATATTGTTAGTTTATGGAGTGTATTCTACCTACGTTCCATAATCGAACATGGAATATTATGGGAATAAGGAGAACCGCCTCTGTGTATTAAAAAAATATCAATTAAAAGGAACCTTTTGAATTTGAAGTAGGTATAATACTAACCTAAATTATAGTAGTTTTGCAGGTGAGTATTTTTTAGAAAATGTTCAGAAATTTTAGAATAGAATAATAAACCACAAACACAAAATAACGCTTTTTAAATGAATATTTTTGAATGAAAAGAACCATTTAATCTTAGGCCACCACAGATATTACAGAATACATTGTGGGTTATTTATTATGTAGTTTATATTTCAATAATAGATTTTTATTAATGATAATTACTACTTATACTCCGTAATTTCACTGTCATTATCTTTAGGTTAAAATGAAAAACGTAATAACTTACAGAGATTTCAAAAAGACTAATTAAGAAAATAATAAAAAAATTGTACAAAGATATGGAGAACTTTGTGGCCTAGTGGTTTAAATACCTACTGCTTAGACATAGACCGAAAGATCGTTAATTGGAATCTGGTCGACACCAATAAACTTTTTACCTATATCAAATTATATTTTTCTTCTTAAGAAATATGTTTACTTATCTATATAGTCAAATTTATTCGGAGAGATATAGTGAGAGATAGTGGTAGACTCACCCCTTGCTAATAGTAGCTCCCGTCAGACAGACACGGCCAATTAAGCCCTTATTATGCTTAAGCAAGTGTACTCGTGGTATAGAGTTAGTTTTTAATAAATAAATTTATCGATTACATACAGGTATATTCTATTGAACCTATAGGCTAAACCGATAATATATGACAATCTTAATATTACTATGTAATATTATCTTATCTGTTATATTACTCACAATTTCTAAGCAAGGTGCGAACCGCTGCTCATACAAGCAACTTGCAGTCATGATGAGGGAATTAACGCCACCAAGAAAATGGAATCCCGGAGTGTAGAACAGGCATTGATGACCAGAAACCCAGCGGTAAATTTGCTCGTGATAGTTGACATTACGAATATTGCAGAATCTTTCATCGTCGAGTGGTATTGCATTTGGAAGCTCCTTAAAACAACGAAGTGCGTAAAAATATTTAAGTAGATCAATAAAATTATTTAGGGTCTATTGATTGTGTTATGAAGATCATATTTTATTACAAAAAGAAACTATGGCTTCACAACTGGGTTTGTGTGCCTTTATGCGGTGTGTCATCTCATTATGGTTTAATTTAATTTTTGTTTACTCAATACCATACCATTTTTTACTATATGATTATGATTTATAATTAGTTTCGTTACATTTTCTCATACTAAACGCATCGCGCATACAGAAGTTTTATTAAGTCAGCAGCCATTCACACTTTTTTAATCTTTCAGCGACATTCTATATTAGAGACTTCTATTTAAATCTTATGATGTTGTAATGCCTATAAACTACCATACCAAAAATTGTATAGATATAAAAAAAACCACTAATGGAGTGTTGAAATAGAAAAGGCATCGCCTTAGCCAATTTATTTTATGACTTCGTTGGATAGGCATACCATGGTTATCATGTGGTACAACTATATCGCAACCTTGCTATGAATTTTATATTTCTTCGTGCGACGACTTATCTTTTACATAATATTACTTACTTCACAAATATAAACATCAGCTTTTTCGCATTCAGTTTGATTGTCGCGAAAAGTAACCGCGTTACGGGAATGCCACCCATCTAATGTGTCTTTATCGTGTCTGATTACATCACCTTCACATCCACGAACCTGCAATACGATAGATGTTTAATAAAGAGCTAAAATATTGTATTAGCTACTTCTTATATCTCATTATAATAATAGTATTTTGAGTAGGTACTTGGCGGTGATCGAAACCGATAAGAAAACAATTTATTTCGAGAGACGACATTAGGCTTACCCCTGCCACGTTCTATTCAAGTTTACTCAAGGAAATGTTCACGACGACATAAAGTACATAAAGAAAGTAAAGCATGGTTATTTGATTTCTTAAAAAAACGAACAAGATAATAAGTAAATTAGAATACCTCATATAATTAATTAGTATACCTCACAGTTTTTACTACATATATTTGTAGCACCCATCTCATGCATTGCTATATAATATAGTGGTTATTTTTCTTGTATACCTAATGTTTAGCCAATTTACATAATTTATTTTGCTATTTATGTACAACTGTTAGTAGTTATTTTGTCGCCTGTCGTTTTACATAAAACCATTGTATTTTCTCTAAATACGCTTTTATTATATATTTACTATAATGCTTTATAATATTTTCTTGTTTTTACGTGATTATTATGATACAGTAGTCAAGTTCTAGTAGGTCTTGTAAAATCGACAATTCCAAGGTTTTCTGCCTGCGATTGCAGTTTTTATCCCATGATAATAATGTCTATATTTAAGTATTATATAAGGATTATATTGATAAGAGATAATTTCTAAGTAAACGATGGAGACTTGTTTTTTTAATCGATGATGATTAAACTATACAAAGTACGGACAAAGAATAAGTATTTATTCTTCTGATCGTATTACGTAAAGTAGGCCATGGATATTTGTTAATCTTCAAAATGTGTCCTAATTATCTTTATAAATGTCATCAAAATACTACCAGGCAAGTATTAAAATAATATAAAGATTTTAGACAATTTGTAAAGTATAACAAATTTTATATCCATATTTTTTATATCCATAGAAAAAGTATTAAATAACTGGATTTGTTATTATTGGGTATTATTACGCTATTTGTCATTTATCGTAACAAAAATTTTATGTGATCAACATGGAAGTATCAGCCAATATGGAGGAATTGAGAACCTCCTTTTCATTTTGTCAGTTGGGATTAAAATTTAACATTATAAATAGATATTTATAAAGGTCTCAATTAAAGTATACCTAAGGTCCCTACTTCAATTACACAATTTGCATGGTTAGATCGGAATGACCCATTGATTGCATTACATACAAATACGCTTAGTATTGACACGTAGTTCTACTCCGTAGTAAAGATTTTTTACCTGAGACAGTCCTTGTTCAAAAAACCAACACAAAGAGGCAAAAAATAATAATCTATTAAATCTGCACATATTCGAATTCTATAAGATTTGCACACTCATGTAACATCACGAAACAGAAACATTGCTCTATAACATTTCACAAAAATCGCAAATACATAATTGTTCTTAGATATAATCACTATCACTGCCGAGGTAAGGTTGAGAATAGAACTATATTGAGCATTCCTCAACAAATTGAAATCACAACAGCTTTGTTGATTGTCTCGTGTGGCTGTTTTCTTTTGCTGACACGGACGTACCTACTAATGCTTTAAACAAACCTATGTTTACAAATTATCTGTGTGCACAATCTATTGTTATCTGCAGATTAATTATTTCATTGTGATATGGTTAATTCAAATACCTACGTAGTATTTAAAGTACAATAGATAAATACTTCAAAATAAATCTGAAGGAAAGATCACAAGACCGACTTTTTAGAAAAAAAACCAACGGAAATGTTGTTGCTGTTGGGATTGTACTAAGTACCTTTTTCAGTTTAGAAGAAAAATCGCGAATAGCGTTTTTTATAGCATAGAGACAAAAGAGCTTGCGATACACCTGATGGTAAGTGATAACACCCGCCCATGACCATTCGCATCATTAAGCAAATTGCAGGTGAGATGCCAGTTTCGTAGCATTAAGCTCGTTTCTTAAATGTTTCTATAATGTATCTGTTCGGAAATATTGTTGCTAGAAAACGATTCCACAATCAATACCTTCTTTACCATAAGCGCATACTGGGCCCGTGCCCGGGGCCCATTCTCAGGGGGCCCCGAAGGACTGACAATTTTTCTCAAACATATTCTCAAAAGATTTTTGTCAGGCACACTACACTTTTTTCAGAAATCATTAATGTTATAAGAAGGTATTTACAAGGCATATACTACGCCATTATACCGGTTACTTCGCCTATTCATATGTTCTTATACCTAATGAGCCTTTTTTTCGGGCCCCGAAAACTTGTGTGCCCAAGGGTCCCAGCCTAGTTTAAGACGGCGGTGTCCACAATGTGGTTGTACATAGCAAAAAAAATCTGGAAAATGGCATGGTGGAGAACTAGCTGTCATCCAGAGGAAATTAAAGTGACATTTTAATTTATAGCTGATTATGCTTTGATGGAAGTCAGCAGCTGGTACAACGATCTCCTCTGGAACTGAAACTTCGTTCGTTGACGTAGATATTTAAGTGTTTGTGGCTGATATAGATGAGTATGGCGGTGAAATTACAGGATAAGAGGCATGATATTTTAGAGAGTCCTCGAGATCATTGGGTAATACATGATAATTTAACGTGATATTGATAATGCTGTTCATATATAATTGAAGGTTACCAGTTATCACCAGGTGAACAACTATATATAATGGTTGTTTGCAGATGGCTCCGGACCGTTTTGATGATAGAATGACAATATGTAACTGTATTTAAAATCTTTACATCATAGGTCGTAATAACAATCGCTTAATGTTCCTACGTCACATAATTTGATAGTCTCTACTATGTATTTGTCTTCTGTTAAAAAAAATAGTATAGCAATGATGTAGGTTGTGTTATTGCTATTCTATCTTCATATACTTTCACTAAAATGCTTGATATTGCTTCCACTATTTCAATTTTGCTATACTAAAATGGAAGGCGTTGTTACTTCTAATAAAGATATTTTTTATTATTTGTATAAATGTGTAATGGATTAACCAGAAACCAAGCTCTATATCGAAAATTATAAATTGGTAGGTATTATTTCGTTTAGCATTATTATCAGTATTGTAAAATGGACTTCCGCAAATTGATACTTAACTGAAGGTAACAACCGTTTTTATTTGATAACTGTGTAGTCAGATTTACCATAACTACTACATTAGGTAGATATATATACTACATGTAGTCGGGTATGTACTTTGAGATCACTAAAGTTAAGATACCGTAGATAAATATCCATTCATATTCTAAACATTACCGTGCGTTTGAAAGAAACTAATTCAATCTCAATGTAAAAAACGTAATAGGTACATGATTTAAATATAGTTATATCTCCAATTTACATAGACATTGTACTCGTTTCTTACAGTATATATTACCTGCTCCTCTTATGAAAATTTCTTATATGTTATTTACATTTCTTACCATTTCTATTCATCGAAAAAATATTTTCTTATAAACTTGGCTTTATAAAAACCTATAATGTTACCAATAGCATTGCCAAAGCAATAAACGTCATTTTTCAAGATTTTTATTAAGTGGTTACATACGTCCTAACATCTTACAAAGACACAGGGCAAATTATTTTCGTGAATGGCTAAAATATATTTTTTTGTATGTTTGTCCATAAAAAAAGAATAAATAATAAATTTGAATTTGTTATTCAGATTCCCCCTGAGATGCTAGTGAATAGATAAATAAATATACAATTGTGAATGGTTATTGTTATACACGGTACCTAAATTCACTCAGAGATTTGACACTGATATTTTTATTTTTACATCCATATTGTGTTTCACTTTGTTATTAACATTATGCAAAATGCTGTGGAATATCCTGTTATTAATACCTAAAAGTTAGAACAATTTTGAGACACATTTTTCCTCTTCACAAAATTATTATAAACTAAGGGAGGTGGGTACAAGTAGAGCACCTTCGTCATAAACCAATACACTGGTAGTAAGCAGCTAGTAGGTTATTAAAATTTTAGATGGCAGTTATTGGTAGTGATTTCAGAGTCATTGCCTATTGTATGTACCTGAAAATCAGTGATGGAGCAGCTAGCTCGAGCAAACAATACACTGTGATGTCTGTGGTACTGCCATTTTGCGTATAAGGATGCACACACCTCCGTTATACATTTTTTCTACCTATATTATATATTGATTTACATTACCAACCAATGACCAATGTAGTTGTGTATTTACCTTTTTTTTACTGTACCTTGTATATATTATGTAATCTGTGTTTGTATGCACACCTTAACGCAAATAAAGTTTTATCTATTATCTGGTCTGTCACAAAGAGATGTGTTGGAATAGGTAGGCTTATACATATCTCTATACTAGAGTAATATACATCGACTAACTTTATTTTAATAAGTCACTTCTTATAAAAGCATGGAGGAGCTGTTTCAGAATTATTACGAGTTAATATGAACAAATAAAACTTTAAAAAGAATGTCAAGGTCAGAGTCATACAAAATAACTAAAATATTATACCTAATTTAAATATGGAACAAAAAATCAAAACTTACAATACGAGTCATTGTTAGATAATATTTTTCCTTGTTTATATTATAGGGTCATAGGTAACTATTATATCGCATATTCGAATTAATCGTCAGACTTTTAGTAAAACAGTCTTGAAATAAGTCCTGAGTGGGTATAATATTGCTGCCAATCCAAATTTATCTGTGATATATATTTCCTGCTTAAATTGGTAAAAATAGATGTTAAAAAAACTTTTTTTTTTCAGTTGCCATTATTGTCGCATATTCAAGTAAAGTACTTCTCTTCAAAATTGGGACTCTCTGTTCACTCTTCAAATTCTCTTTCTTTTTAAATATAACTTGGACTACTTTAAGATTTTAAGATATGTTTGCATACCCTAAAATCGTAAGATCTGTGGTATGCATATGCATGAATAGACGAAAATATCATAATGAATTAAATACTAACAGGAAAGGACAAAATAATGTCAAATTATAATAGAACATCTTGTATTTGAAAGCAGATGTATGAAAGTAGTTGTATGTATAGTACATATATGTACCTACTTATATACCATCCTTAAATTTTACCAGGAAATTAATATTTATTCTGATATGTATTGTGTTTGATATATATGTATGTTCATTGATATTTTTTCAAACCATTGATAGGGAAAACCATTTGATATTTACGTTACGTTGTCTCACATAACTTTTGTCAGGGTTGATATTCAATTCTTTATGGATGAAAATATATTTGTATTGAACAATCAAATATTTTTTCTCACGCTACATTTTACTAAAGATAAGAGAGTATTACGTAAGCCACCGATTGTTAATATTAAACTTCATAACATGTTTATAAGCTACTCAAATAGCGCATTACTGTAAAAAGACAGTAACTAATGGGAATTAATGAGTCTATTGGTAGTAATGTATGTCAGGTTGACATCCAAGTGATCCATCCCTTTGGTTAATTTTATATTTGTCAGCTGGGCTAACTGACTTGACTTCATTATCACTCTTATATTTTATTAGTACATATCCCACTAGGATATAAAGATAGCGCAGGTGGGAGCATCATTTCATCATCATCCATAGAAAAATGTAACCTATCGTATCAAGCACCCTGACCTACACGTTCTACTAAATTAACAATAACTTTATCTTTTCAAATATTCATACATATATATTATTTAGTTTTTTCTTAGTTCAACTATATACCTACGCTCGTGACATTGCAGATTGGTTCCTCAAACATGTCATATTTTGATATATTTTTAAAATTTTTAACCTAATGTAGGCTACATTAGGTTAAAGATTACTTCCAAGATAAAATTAACCATATTGAAACCGATTTAATCTCGTGCATTAGCAATCTTTTGACAGAATTAAGTAAGTTTTGTGATTAGTTATTTAGTATTATCATACCTTTAGTAAATATTATTGCAAAATGTTATCAATCATTATAAGTATAACAAATTTATAGTCAAGAAAGAGTGCATTCAGTTTTTTTAACCTCTGGTTCAGTTAATATCGTTCATGTCTTTTATTCAGTCGAATTTATCAAACAGAAATGACTATTATATTTTTTTAAATATAGGGGATAGAGGTAGATAGACTTTGACAATAATACCACAATTATTTTTTGGTTATACCTCTATTGGCATATACGTTATCTCGTAACTACGTGACGTGACTTGACCAAAGTTTTTGCACAAACGAAATAAGGCATTCGAAGAGTATTTTTAATGTAGAGGGAACTCTAAAAATATCGTCATAACACACTGTTGTGATCAGTGATACAGGCCAGTTATGGCCTAGGACCCTGTTTGTAGATAAGGAAACTAGCCAGAACTAGTAACGGTTTGCAATTTTTATTTCATTATTACTACCCAAGTAGGTACATAATAAACGGTTAAACTTGGACTTGTATATTATTATATTAAGAGATATACCTACCTACTTATAATTCATCACAACAAATGTACGGTAGAGTTCTGTGTAGGCAGATAGACTAAACTAATATTAAAAAACCAAGAGGAAAGTAGCCTGTT